GTAAAGTAGGCTAGACTAGACTAGGCAAGGTTTAAATTGTAAACCAAAGGCCTATGAAAGGATGGGAGAAACATCTAAACCAAACAAAAACAGGGCGAAGAAACAGGTAAACACAACAGTGACTTTGATGCATTTTAAAACTTTAGGAAATGTATCAATGTATGTGTAACAACACTGACCCTGGCTCACGGCTGGCAACAGCAACGCACTGAGGTTAGAATGATGCTATTCTCATCCTTTTCCCTTTCCTTTTACTCCCACAAACATTACTAGTTCTTGAACTAAATAAAAATATTTTTATTTCTTCTTCCAAAGCTCTGAGCTCCAATTTGGAAGAACCAAACCTCTCCGCTTTGTTCCATCCTCACACATGGAAAAACTCCTTCAACTTCTGCACTCCAGCTTGGCTGAAAGCCATAGCATGAAACTTTAATTCAGGTGATTTTCACAGCCAGGCAGGAGGGCAGAGCTGAAATTGTAGTACTTTCTTATCAACTTCATTTTGCTGTGGTGAGTCAGGTAAGGAATAACAGGCAGGAGCAGAGGTGCTGAGCTGTGGAGTGTGTACAGCACTTACCAAATATGAACTGCACATCACAGCCATAAAACCTACAAACAAAAATTCTTCTAAGCAAGGTCAGTTCATACTTTGCCATGGAAACATCACAGGCTTTTAAAAATAAAGTAGCTCACTTCTGTACCAAGTCCACATCACCCACAGAACCACAATTCCTTTGGTTCTGCTAATAAGTACCAGCAACTAATACTCCTGCGCTTCCAATTTAAAAACCCAACCTAATTTTAAAGACAAATTTTCCAACTGAAAGAGAATACTTTCTTTCAAGGAGAGAGAAAAAATTTCAAAGCTACCTAAAGCATCAGTTTTTGTGAAAATACAGAAAAATTAGCAGCAGCCTATGGCAAAGTACTGTCAGAAGTCTTCATCTTAGCCTAGTATCTGGTCCACAACAGACACATAAAATTGAGATACAGCTATATTACCTAGCAAAAGTAATACACATTTACTATATATATTACTTTTTTAGATTATAGAGCATTAATTGGATAGCACTGCAACCGCAGGTCACCTTTAACACTTGATAAATGGCACAGAGAAATGCAAATCAATTTTCAGGCAGTAATTTGCACTGCAAACAACCTAATTTGACTTGAAATGGTAAGAAAATACAGTCTGAACAGAACAATGCTTGAAAGCATAGGATTCCTCAAGTCTCATGAATTTCCTAATTATGACATGATGTCGATAATGGAGTTACCTACTACATTCTCCATGCTTCTTCCTAACGATTTTTGAACCATTATTTTGAGTGGCAAACATTTTTCCAAATTCTAAATTTGGAAACTCAAATAACCAGACATGCAAAAAATTGTTTCCCTGCCAGCTCTAAAATTCTGAAGTTAAGATTTGATTTGCTTTTTCCTTGTTATCTTTTCAACCTATTGACTAAATAAGGAAAAAAAAAATTACATTTCTCAAAGACAGAAAACACAGACTGCTTCAAAGTGCAGATGAGCCTAGCCTCATCTGTCTTCTTTAATTACAGGAGTCACTTCTTAAGAAAGAAAATGGGGACTATGAGTCTTCAAAAACCAGCAGGTTGCAGCAGAGGTGCACAGGCTGTCGCCCTCATTTCCAGCTGCTTCTCCAGGCCTCCGAGTTCTCCTGGAACAAAGGCCTCAGACACACACAGATGCAACCAGAAGAGAGGAGTCGGCACCATGTGGTTTGCCAGCTCTTCATGGATCACAGCTTGCAAAGCAGTTAGAAGCCCTTATTTATTTTCAAAATCTCTACTGCTTCAAAAGTGCATGGTTAAAGTAGCAGCTGGTTTGCCTGCGTTTCCTTAGCCACCAATAACCACGAGGTGTAAGTTTATTTAATTTATAAATGGCTCTAATAACCATACAGTGTAAATAAATGGCAGAAAGCCCTCTAATAAGTGGCTCTCTGTAGCTGCTTAACATTAACTGGTAACTGCTTAGGGGTTATTGTCACGCATGACTTTACAAACATATGCAAATGTATATTTACAACAGTTTCATCAATAGAAACCTCAACCAACAACAATGAACCACTAGGAGGAACGGAACAGAGCCCCAGAAATAAAATTCTTTACTCATGGTCCTTTGAGGTATTCATGTTCTTCTCATTCTAGACAAACCTGATAGGCCTCAGACACCAATCTCACAGCAGCAACACAAATTTGGATTTATTCCTGAGGATTCAGGCAGAACTAGAAGACACCAAAGAAATAACCCCTGACAAACACATTTCTGCTTTTTTGCCTTTTTTTTTTCCCCCACCCTCAGGAAAATGAACTAAGCAAGTATTTTCTACTGAAAGAGCTCATGCATGTGTGTTTGTGTCCAGGGACACTGGCTAATTTGGGAAAGGGGAGAGCTGTATCACCTATATGATACAGGCCTGTTTGCTTTTCTGTCTTGGAGAAAGCTGTATCAATGATTGGTGTGAAACCGTTTTCTTATGAATAAACCCCTAGGAGTAGAGATTCTCAATCACAATTGGCTTAAGGAAAGCAACATCAGACCACTTTTTAAGCAGAAAGATGGGACGAGGTCACATTGTACTATACTGTGTAAATAACCTCACATCCAATGGTCACTTAAGAATCCCTTGGCTCAAACCATTTCTGAATTTCAGCCTTGCAATAGAGTTTCACATTTTTTTTCTTCAGACATTAAATGACATTCAGTTTCTAGATCATTAACCCTCCTGCTGTTTGTAATTTCAACTGCATTTCTCAAACACAGGACAAAGCTCTACTCAAGAGCTGGAGGAGGCAAGGCCCTCTCCTGCCGGATCCAGGCAGGATTCCTGTCATGCACTAAAGCTTGAGCCAGGTAAGTTCATCAGGAAGGTGCTCTTGTTCTCCAGGACCTCAGGAACAATAGTTCTGCACTACCACTGCATGTGGGCCATGGAGTCACTTGTTTGACCTCTTTTGTAAAGTTAAGAATAGTTTTTACTTTAAGTCTGGTTAAAGCCAAAGCTATTAGTTTAGTTTTTAAAAAACAAAACTATTCATTCACTCTTTTTTTTTTTTTTGTGCTACTAAGTGATTAGCTGGTGATTTGACATGACAACATACCAAACCTGTACTTCCTCCTACCTGTAGTGTAAATCTCATTTCCCCATTCTCAGTTATTTCAGGTTACAACTTTAACTAATTCTTCATGCTTTCAACTGAAAACTTTACAGATACATCTGTTCAACAGTGCTAACTCGGTATTTGAATAGTATCATCAAAACACGGCGAACTGATTTCAAGAACAATCGCCCTCACTAAAGAAGGAGAAGCTCACTGGAGAGCAGGCAAAGCCAAGCTCCCAGTCAAGCTCCCGTGCACAACAAAACCGATCCACATAACACACACCGCAAGGAAATGCCCATTTTGAATGACAACAGCTCCCAGTTTTCTGAAAGAAATCAGCTACGCTGCAGTTATGGGAACTGCCTGCAATTCCCTGCAACCACCACACCGTACAGCCGAAGGGAGAAGGAGAAGCACGGCACAGGGAATTGGAGCACGCCCGCCGCGATCGGGGGGAGCGGCAGCGGGGGCGGCGGAGCGGGGCTCGCCGGCCCGGACCCGGCGCGGCTCCCGCTGCCACGTCACGCAGGCCCGCGGCTCCCGCCGGGAATCTCCCTCCTGCAGCTCCCCACTGCAGGCTGGCCCGGCCGACAGCGAACCCGCTAACAGCGGCACGAAGCACAGCTCGATTCCTGCACAAAAGCCAAGGACTAGGGGAGCGTGAGGCCGCCGCGGAGGGAAGGGGAGAGAGGGAAACTTCTGGGGCTGCGAACGGGAGCCAGCGGCGGCCGGCCTGCACCAAACCGCGTACACCAGCGGCCCAGGGGCCGGGCGCGGCCAGGGCAAGCGAGGGAAGGGATGGAGGAACGGAGGGATGCAGAGAGGGCGGCTGCTCGCCCCGCGGGGGACGAACTGCTTCCCCCCCGCTTCACACCGGCCTCCCCATTCATTCGCCGCCGTCGGGCAGTTACGTAAGGAAGGAGCGACCCTCCCGGACACAGCCGGAGCGGCGTGCACAGGGAGTAAAGTACAAATAATGGCAACCACAACACCTTCCAGGGAAATGCAGCTCCCGCTGGCGCACCCCCACCCCGGAGCGGGGATGCGCCTCCTCCTTCCCCCTCTCCGGGCTGCTCAGCCGCTCCGCCAGCGCTGGATTTGGAGGCGGCCGAGTCCCGGGGAGGTCAGGAGGAGGGCAGAGCCCTCTCCCCTGCGCGAACGGGAGCGACCGTCCCTTTTCACCGGGCCGGACCGAGTTCTGCCTGCCCGCCCGCCCCGGGGCCCTCGGGGGCGCCTCAGCGGGGCCGGTGCCCTCCCCGCCTTTCCCCGCTTCACCAGGGCCGCCTCCCGGGCCAGCGAGACAGGCGGGAGCCCCCCGCCGCCCCGGCTCTCTGGGCTTTCCCCGGGGCGCGGCCCTTCGGGGGCGATCGTAGCACCCCGCGGCGAGTTCGGGGCTATGCCGCCGGCCCTGGCGGGGCTCCCGCGGGGCTCTGCGGCCCGGAGCCTCCCGGCCGGTCCCGCCCCGCGGCCTCCGCACGCACCCGCGCAGGAGCGGCTCTTCCAGATCTTGAGCAGCAGGATGATGATGGCCGCCAGGTGGGACAGGTCCCCGGTGAGGCGGAAGATGTTCATGGCGGCGGCAGAGGCGGCGGCGCAGCCGGAGCCGGGGAGCGAAGATGGCGCAAGCTCAGCGGGCACCGAGCGACGTGGCCCGGGGACGTGGCCAGGCAGCCCGCGCCGGTGCACGCCGGGAAGCGGGGGAGCGCCCGCCCCGCCCCGCCCCGCGCCGCGCCGCCCTCACGGCGGGGCCGCCCCGGCAGCCGCGGGCCCGGCGGGCGGAGCGGAGCGGCCGCGGGGTTCAGCCCTTTCGGCGGCCGAGAAGCTGATCTGTATACATATATACACAATAGCGAATATAATATATATTATATGTTTTTTATTATGTTTTGAGCACCAACAGTTTAAAAATCTACATCAGCTACTAGACAGAGTCCAGCAGAGGCCATAACGGTGATGAGGGGTCTGGAGTGTCTCTCTTAGGAGAGACTGCGAGGTCTGGGCCTTGCTAGTCTGGAGGAGTGGAGACTGAGGGGGGATCTCATCGATAGGTCCCAAGAGGGTCACATAATCATGGAAACACAGAATGGTTTGGGTGAGAAGGGTACTTAGGGATCATCTCATTCTGCCCCCTGCCATGGGCAGGGATGCCACTCACTGGACCAGGGTACTCGGGACCCCGTCCAGCCTGGCCTGGAACACTTCCAGGGATGGAGCAGCCACAGCTTCTCTGGGCAGCCCGTGCCAGGATGGTGCCAGATTCTTTTCTGTGGTGCCCAGTGACAGGACAAGGAGCAGTGGCCATATACTGAAACACAAGAAGTTTCACTTCAACACAAGGTAGAGTTTTTTACATTGAGGGCCACAGAACACTGGGACAGGACTGGGCAGTCAGGGATTCTCCCTCCCTGGAGACATTCCAAACCCACCTGGAGACGTTCCTGTGTCACTGCTCCAGGTGACCCTTCCTTGGCAGGAGGGTTGGACTGGGTGATCTCCAGATGTCCCTTCCAACACTAACAATTCTGTGATTCTGTGTAAACTTCCAAGAAAAAGAAAAAATAGCAATTATTTATTCAATAATCATGCCTTGAGAGTTACCACACTGCCTCGTCAGAGTCCTTAATCCCTCAAACAGGACATGACCAGTAAATTCAGTGGGCAGTTCAAAAGAGGCATCTCCTTTTAATAACTCTCCAATGTTCTCTGTAAAAAAACCCAACAATCCAAACAAGAGCAAAGAAAAATAGGAATAGCTGCCCAGGAATAGGATTTCCAATGGTTGTAGAAAATGGGTAACAGTTTACTCCAGGTAAACAGTGGTGTTTTGCTGGGTAGCTCATTTCTTTAAAATCTCTTGCTTTACATTGTTTCACAGCCTGTTTGAGGAAATAGTGTAAGGACTTTACTGTTACAGAATTATACATTGAAAAGTTCCCACAGCAGAGGGTTATGGACTGTTTGAAATTTAAGAAAAGGATCCTAACTACAATCTTTTAATTCTTCTGTTTAAAATGTAGCACAAACATTGAAATCTTTAGAGAGTTTACATAATCCTGAGAAGGGAGAACTGATTAATACCTGCTATTGAGTTTATCTTTTTTAGTAAGTACTCACTGTGTGACAAAAACAAATTTACTTATTTTCAGAGATTAAGAATCAAAGCCTGTCCTCTTACAACACTGTGTTTACAAGTATAGCAGTACAACTCCTTGACAAGCTCCACAGTATCTCTTACCGCTTCCTAAGAGGTTGGATGTTGCATTTGTAAAGTTTTATAGTTCTCAACTCTAACAGAATAATTATTTTAAACAGATATTGAATAATTTTTGGCATCAAATAATGTTTGATGTAACCACCAGTGAGTTGCCTACTTGAGGATACATGTTAAAAACTCAAATATAGTACTGGGAGAATTTGTACTGAAAACAACAGCATTTGGCAGAACTCCCCAAATGTGTGGTACCAACTGCAACAGGAGGGGAGAAAGTGCAAATTCATAACTACAACATCAGCAGCTGCCGTGCTGAGGCACTTCCATCACTGCACACATGTGTGAGGTCTGAAAACACAGACATGTCTTAGAGCTCTGGCTGGACCAGCCTGCTTGACTGAAATGCGAACATTTAATATGTCAGATCTCAACAATTCTGAAAGGGTGAATACTGAAATAAAAGTAGATAATAAAAACACTGACAGGTACATATCTGGAATCTATTTAATAGATACATTAAAGGCAGAGAGCTGACATCCATTCTCTCAACCCACTGCTCAGTTCATGCAGTTAATATTCAGAACTTGTTTGTGATCTATGTTATTTTCTGACATCCGATTAAATGTTGAAACATGTCAAGCTCCAATTAAACATGACCTAGGGCAGTTTCAGCTTGTGCATCAAACTAGTGTGATTTTAACTATAGCAATGGCTATTCTTTGATAAATCAATATAGTTCACTTCCATATACAATGGTTAAAAATTAACAAGGAAAGCAGTACCAGAAAATATTCCCCTGTTGTATCTGTGACAGATTAGCATTTTGCACTGTTTTCATATTTCTCCTACAGGAATTTACTTTTGGCTTCTCTCCTTTTCTCTTTGTCCCTCAAAGAGAAGTTTACAGATATTAAGTGAGATGTTAAGTATTTGTAAGGCTAATTACACCAGCCAAAACATTAGAAAATAAATGTTATACTGTTGCCAGCAAAGCAAGAAATCCATCAATCACAATTCCTCCAGTTAATACTTCAGTGTTCAGTCACTTGGACTATGAGCTCTAAAGATGCCTGTGCTCCTGCATCATCAGGGCAAGAAAATCCTCTCATTAATCCGGATTGGAAAAGCAGACTGATGCTGAAGAGAAAGGGGCAGGAAGAGACAGATGGACATTGGTTGCTTTCTACTCATTGCAGAAAAAATGTAATATGTTTTGTGGCTATCTATTTTTGGGTACAAATAAAGAACCAGATGTGAACTTTGATAAAAATATCCTATGGTGCAAAACTCCTCCATGTCCTGATGCCAGGCAAGGTCCAGTGGGGTCTTTGATGTAGTCTCATAATTTCTCTGTCTAAAGACTAGGCAGAAAGATATGGAAAGATGGTCTGATAATGGATCACAGTCTTAACTAAAGTATGAAATGATGGAGACCTGGATAGCACACAGATCTGTTTGTTACTCATCTGCACTTTCCAACAGCATGCTGTATAACAATGTAGAAAATACTCTTTCTGAGGACCAATTCCAAATGTTCTGGGGTACCAATAAAAGAAATTTAACTTACAGTGTTTTTGTTTATTCTTTGCAGACCTGTCTTTTCTATCCAGTTTCCCTCCTGCCGTACTGGAAAAGGAAGTCAGATCCCTCCCTTCCAACAGCACGGGACTAAACAGTCCCCAAGGCTGTCCTACATCATACAGCATGGATGAGAATATTTTACTAATCAGGACTATAAGGTTCTTAGCTCTCCTCATCCCATGCCTACAGATCTTGCTTAAAACCCAAAAAACAACTCAAAGCACACACACCAAAAAGCCCACAAACTTATCAAAAACATGCAAACATTTTCACTGAAATAAAGAGACCCCATTGCTTAAAGTTGTGTACCAGCCTGGAATATCAACCTTTTTAGAGAAAAGAAAAAAAATGAGGAAAAGATTATTTGAAATTTGATCCTTACTTCTGAGGAGAACAGAGCATGACAGGGGAGCAAGGTTCTGCAGTTTGACAGCTGTTCCTCGACTGCCGTGGGGAAATTGGCAGTGTCCCACTGGGAAGCAATGTGTGGTATCTATAACCACAACACAGCATGAGCCAAAATACCAACGGTGCACTATGGCCAGTTACCTGCTCAAGTGACACATTCCAGGTGACTGCTGGTTCCTTGCTTCTTTCTGAGTGTCATTTGAGTGAGTCGGGCCTCTCCTTAGCCCCAGGTGCATTTGGCTGGCACACCTTGAGCAATGTCTCACATTTCTCCAAGGGGCAGCCAGTGGGACTCTGACAAGGTCCCAGCCTAACATGATGGGGCTGCAATTTGTGTTACTGGAAAGTAAATGAGGGGGTGATGATCCCTAGGCACAGCAGTGAAGTGATAAGCTAAATCTGCCATAATGCAGTACGTAATTGCCTCTGGAATATTTGAGCAGATTATAGAGAGGCATAAAGGGCTTCTTAAAATTAAGGAAGGATGCCTTTTTTTTTTTTTTTTTTTAACAGTGTCTTTAGAGCCTCACACTGAGGAGCTGGTTAGCTCTGATGTGACAGATTGAGATCACTGAGAGTCAAACATTCCATGCACTGTACAAAACCTGACAACAGCCATAATGCCAGCTTTAACAGGGATACTTTTCAGACACTGTGGATGGGCAGTTGTTTTCTTCCTTTCGGGGATTTAGAGATACCACAGATGTGCCATTTACCTCAGTACCAGGTCATGGGGATATCTTCTTTCCTGCTGATCCAGAATCAGTAGCCCTTTTCTCTTTTCTAAATACAATTCTGAACATAAAGGTATCAGGCACTGAAGTAATAAACCAACAAAAGTATTTCTTGCCATTTGTTAACTTCTGAAGGATCCTCCATTCAATCACAGGAATGAAATGCCTCCTCTCACATACTGCTGGACAGGGTCACCTGTCACAGGGCTCAAAGCACTCAGAGGAGCCAGGCCTACTCCAGAGCTGTGACTCTCAGCAGCTGGATGGTTGGATGTGCATCCCACAGGATGTATGCCACTGCCCAGCAACCATCAGAAGGGTCACAAATGGAGAGGAGAGCTGCAGTTCTCACAATAAGCAGATACAATTATTATCATGGTCTATATTCAACAGCAGATTTATGTAAAAATATGATTTTTCTTTCTCAAATATCTAAAAGAACTAAAAAGAATGTAGGAGAAATTAAGCTTGGTTTAAACAAATGTTACCCACATCTACAAAGAGCAACATTTCTTTAAGAATCAAATCTTTATACCACATTTCTCTGTAGTATATTCTTCCCCAAAATCCTGATCATGCAAAAAGAGAGGGACTGTGAGACATTTTTCCCATGAATGCATACCAGTCAAAGTGATCACGTGCATGTTGTATGCAATACATATCTGCAGAGGGGACAGATGCCTGCACTGAGGGGTTCTGTGGTTTGTTCCATGGAAGGAAAGTGTGCATGTTTCAGCTTCCTCTGGCAGTGTGCAGGATTGTGAATGCATGGCAGGTCACACACACAGATTACACACTGAGTATACTTGTGCTCTCTATGCCTTTCTCTGCTCTCCATCTATTCTTCCCACAGAAATTATGTTTCAACAGTTTTGATGAAAGTGTCTAATGAATCCCAGATTTTGTAGAATGGGCTTTTCCATCAGTGACCTTTACAAGAGGGACTTTGGCAGGAGTAAAATTGCTTTTCTACATACTTGCCATCCCAAATGCTCACACCATCTCATGAACCAAACAGGATTTGCAATCTCACAGTGAAATCAGTACAACATTAAGTAGTGCTCTACATTTACCCCTCCTACACTCCTCTTGTAAGAAATAGATAAGCTCTTGACCAAACGTAAATGCAATGCCAAAGTTCTTAATATATTAATTTAATAAAATATATAAATAATCAAGCAGTTCAGCAATTTAAAAGCACTTGTGCTTGAAAGAAATTACAGCACAGATGGCACAAAACAAAGAACTCACTCCTGCTCCAATTAAAAGCTAAACTCTGACTCACATAATTGCAAATTGAATCACTCCCAGGTATATTGACAGAAGAAGATCACTTTCAACTCATATAGATTTTTGAAGGGCTTGGTAGAGCTAAGTCATGTATCCGAACTAAGCAGCTGAACTGGAAATGCTGACTGTCTTCCTGACATGAAAACACTCTCCTGCATCTTCAGAAGTGCACACAGACTTCAAGTCAGGCAATTTCTAGAAATCAAAAAACCTTTTAGTACTTTCACATCTGAGTGAGGCAGAACTTTCTGATGTGAAAACACAGATAAATCTTTATAATGCATTTGATCCACTAGGTTTTAGTGGACATTTGCATGTACTTGCTGGGATTAATAAAACAAACTTTTTTCTATTTAAATATATGTCTCAATCTCTTGTTCACATGCAGAAAAGGAAACACAGCTGGAGAAGCTAGAATCTTACAATGAGGATTAGAGAAAAAAGTGCCAGGCAGTTTGCAGCAATCATAATTCTTTGCTTATAAAATGCAGAACTAAAGCATGCAGTATTATCTGTAATATCATGTCACACTTGCCAGGGTTAGTTATAGGCAAAGGCAGTTCCCAAAGCAGCAGATTGCTGAAGGGGGAAGAGGGAAAGGAGGGGGTGAGAAATTGCTCTCACTGCCTACTTTGCCAATAACAAAGCCCTGAGAATCAAGTTAGCCCCTGCTGCTGCAGGAATTCCAGAATATGGGACTGTGGTGGGAACTGTTACTCCCAACTGCAGCAAGAGCTCACATTCACCTTGCCCCAGCAGCAGCTGGCCTCTTCCCTCCAGCTCTCCCTCCCTCCCACTCCAATTGCTTCCCAACTTGAGAAAAATTTCAGTTCTACTTTCAGGCCAGAAGCCAGATGTAATGTTTACCATAAAGAAATACAAATTACAGTTTGAAGGGCATTTGCTACAGTACATCTCTGAATGAAAGAGCTAAACTTTTCAGTCCATGCATTGCCTTTTTTCGTCTAGAAAACATAAGATTTTTTGCAATGGCAAAATGGAAAACTGTGCCATGTGTTTGTGGTCTAAAATCATGTTGAACAACATCAAAATGTATGTTCACATGAGGAGGATTTTTAATATATCTTTTTCTTCCCATTGTTTAAAATGTTGAGAAGCTAATTACTGAGAAACATTGAGGCATGAGAAGCTAATATTGGAAACTTAAATCATATGCTGATAAAATACAGGAAAATATCTATGGTTTATAATTAGGAGAAATTCCTTTTCTAGGTCTTGTGGAAAATCCTGGATTGACAGTCCTAGTAGTGCACAGGCCCAGTGAACAGCTTCCCCTTAGTATTCCCAGATGTACACTTCAACCCTACCTGGAGTGAAAGGACTGTCTCTTGATGAACATAAGCAGTTTCCATGGTGCATTTTGTCACATGAAATACTCACAGTATTGCCAATGCCCTCAGTGTCAACAGTTCTATATTGAATACAAACAGCCATGGGGAAACTACGTTTTGTAGAGGTGCTTAAATTCTAAGAGTCTGTTATCACTTCTTGTCTGAGGAGGATTTAAACCAGCAGCTCTGAGATGAAGCTATTTTATTGTAACAGCAGTAACTTTTAGTGGAGTTTCTACTACACCACATAGAAGGATAGCCCCTCCCCAGGGAATGTATACTTGAAGCAAAAGAAAACCCAACAAAAGGACACAACAGTGTGACAAAATTAGCCCATGTACAAAGCACTGGGTATCAGACATCAGCCTCCAAATAACAGTCTTCTGCTACCTGTCCCCCCTATAATTCAAGTTCCTACCTAACACACAATCCTACATTTCTCATGAGACAGGTAAGTAATTTCCAACTTTTAAACTTGAAGTATTTGCAAGGATACTGTGTTACTTGTTAATGGTAAAGCTATGGAAAGGAGATAGTTCTCATAATGATGGCAGATGAGGGTCTTGCTTGTGAGAATTTAACCACTCTGTACTCAGAATTGTCAGAGCCTCTTGATTCTACTGTTCAAGCTGAGCTGACACTCTTTTATCTCTAGCATCTCTGTTGTAAGCTCCAGGACACTGAAAATCAAAGCAAAAAAAAATAATAAGTCTTTTGACATGCCTTGCTTTGCAATCTTAATGACTAAGTAGAATACTTAAGCATTTAGTTTGCCTAACTGGAATCTAAACTTCAAGCCCACCAGTGCTCTTCTTAAATATTAACCTGTCAAAATGTTAAAATCCAATGAAAGTTAATGGCAATTAAACTGACTCACATAATTGCACTCTACTAAATAGAACTGTTTGTGAAATAAAATCTTATAAATAGCCTGGAATGGGTAAAACACAGAATAAAACCAAGAACATGTTCCAAAAAAAACCAATGCAGTAATTGATTTGTGCTACATGGAGTTTTAAATACACCTTTGTTATGTTTGGCTTTACAATAAAGATAAGATAAAGTGTTTTCCCCTTGATTAGATTCAGAGATAGTCTAACCAAGGTTCAAGACACATTTGTAACACAGCAAAATGATTCAAGAATTGTTATCTTTGCATTCAAAGCAGGAAGAGGATTCCACATCCCTTCTTCCCTGTTACAGGTGATCTGTGCTTCTGTTACAAACTTACCTCTAACTGAAAATAGAACTTACCAAGCTCAGCCATTGAGGGTTGAGAAAGGCAGGGGCAGTGTAAACACAGCACACAGCCAGATGCCAAAGCCACTCAAACAAGGAGCACCTGGAAAGCAGAGGGCTTTATTTCTTAGTGTCACGCTACAGCTCAGGCCGAGAAGTCTTATCTACACCACCCCAAAGAGGTGCAGCAAATTCCAACAGTTGTTACATTCAGCTCTCAAGAGATATCACTTCCAGTTTAATGTACACAGCTCCAGAGAGAAGCATTTCACAGGGAGCTGGGAACAATGGAAGAGAAACTCAACAACTCAGGTGATCTTTACCCGGAGAACTCCTCCCTTTGGCAGACCTCCAGGAGGAACAGGTCATATGTGAGAGGGAGCTTGGCTAAGAGCACTTCCCAGGTGCTTCTGGGAAGGCCAGCTCTAATTCCAGCAAGGGCATCATAGCAATTTAGTTCCCTTTATTCCTATTTCAGCACTTCAGCTTCCCTCTCTCTCCTCCTCCAACAGCTTGTGTCTTGCTGGTGTCACTGGAAGGAACAATTTTTGCTGTCTGATAGGGATAAGTTCTCAACATTATCTTGACTATGTGCAAACTCTCTCACTGTAACACATCCATTGACATTGCCCAGGTATAAACTGAAATATGAAGAAGTAAAAGATTAAATCACTGAAGTATAGGTACTAATAAGCTTTAATTCCAAATAGGATGGGAATGGCAGGAAAAACTATTCAATGGCCCTTCAGTCTGGATAAAGATGCTAATCCACCCAAGTACTACCTTCTTTCCCACTTGCAGCTCTGCAAACAACATTCTGCTGTACGTAGAAGGTCCAGAGATGCTGCCTTAAATTTAGGCAAAGAATATGGGAAAGAAGGAGAGGGCAAAGCTGACTATTTCAGACTACCTTTTACACAAGCTAGTGCTTAGCACAGTGTAATGCTACTAGACAGCTGCTAATGCCATCTGACAGTCTTCCTCCATTACATCTTGCTGTGGGTAAATGCAGCATCCTCCTGGCTGTTTGTCTTGGTCAGGCATGTGATTTGGGGCACGATTGTAGAAGTTCAGGAGTAAATTCACTGTAACCTGACTTCAGAATAGAGGCCTGACTCTGGTGTGTGCTGTGAGACCTCACACCCCACTGGTGTGTGCCCCTCCCCTAGGCAGGAGCAGGGAGGACTCCACTCACCACTGGGAGCCGCGGTTTGCCCCTCCTGGGGAGATCCTGCAGTGCTCTGTGTCCCTGGGCTGCTGCTCCTGGCTCCATCCAGTGCCAGCCCCAGGCTCTGGAGCTGGGATGCATCCAGATGCTCCCGCTGTGATCCTGTAACCATGGCGGAGTTCTCAGGGCCCAGGTTTGCTATTTGCTCTGGGGACAATGCCTGGGAGGAACAAAAGACAGAAAAATTGGTTTAGGCTGTCAATTATAGAAGGCAGGTAAGGAATCAGAAGTCAGCACTGCCTTGCATTTGGAATGAAGGACATTAGCCTTCAACATTGTGTTGCTATAAAAGAGCTCAATAGAGCTTAAAGAATCCTCTGTATTCATTTACTTCTCTGACCACTCATCTATCTGTCACCTTTCTCTTTGATGCTGGAAGCTGACAGCTTGAGAAGCTTTCTATGCCAGCACTGTATTGTACACTTCTACAATATATTGTTGGAGTTTAATTTTCCAGCCATTTATTTTCAGATTTATTCAAAGACTGATGGTGTTGTGCAGCCTCTTGTGTTTCCATTTATTTCCTCTTATATCTGCTCCCAAGCAACCTCACTTGAACTTACATTTGTCCTTTGATTATAGTTAGCAGTAGAGCAATGAGATGAAAAGACCCCATGCTTTAATCTTATTATTTAATTTTCTCTTTTAGATTAAAAATCGTCCCAGTTTGTTCATTTTAAATTTAAAAATTAAACATGGCAATCATAGTCTCACAGTAATTATCTTATATCATATAGCAATTAAGCAATTTGTAAAGCCTGCATTATTGAGCTTTATTTAAGCATTATTTGCTTTAGTTCTAGCTAACATTCTGCAGTCACAAGCATTTTAACCCTCCTACACAACAAGCCTTTTTTCTTGCAATAATTCTGCATCCAGGTTCTACTTTGGAAAGACAAAATCCCCCTTGCAAGTCAGATGATGGAGCAAACCCTTGCCCTTTTCCTTGTCTACCAAATGGTGTGCTGGTTTGAACTCAGCAAACTCATGGAAATGCCTACAGGTTCAGACATTTTGAATTGAACATCTTCTTAACTCACTTGAAGTCCATAATACAATGTAATTTTTCATAAATCAAAATCTGAATAATTTATACAGCTGCAAAATGAGGCCATGAAAAACCTGTGTAAAACCAAAATCTTCTTTGAATCTTTCAAATATAGAACACTCTTTGGAAAAGAGGTACCCTGCTTTTTGTTAATCACTATTTGTAGTATCATTACTACTCTTACTAACAAAAATGTTTGTTAGAAATTCTACAGGACAATATAGAGCTGTTTTGCAAAGCAATAGTTTCTGTAATGACATTTCAGGCTTATCTGAACTGTCAGTTAGTGCTCAAGGAGTTTTTCTTTTTTATGGGAGCTGACACAGTTAACTCTCTGTTTAGCTCAACTGTCCATAAGTACATTGCTTGCCTGAGCATCTGAAAGAGACCAGCCCAGGCAGAGTTTTAATCTTGTCACTAAGTCCAGAAAAGTAAGGGGCAATGATCTCAGGATCCCTGTTCTAATTTCTGGTCCACATTCAGTACTGCTGTAATTAGATGTAATTCCTTTCTGATCTGTATCTGCCTGCACAATCTGTTTTTCAGAGCTAACCTGGGAGAATGGTGCCAGATTTTAGGTTAATAAAACAGCTCTTGCACATTCAGCAGAGAAATCTGTAGCTATTACAGCATCCTTGCAAATGTTAATAAACAGAAACAAAAATTCAGATCTGACTGAAATGCTGGAAGATACAGTGTCCATTCCCTGTTTTGTGATACTTGCTATTTCTTTGGGATGCATTCTGAAGGATGAATTAACTTATCTAGCATATTTCATGGGCATCGCAAATACAGATGATACAGATGAAAGTTAATGTTCCACATCCTTGATAGTCTCTCACTTAACAGACCACAGAATTTTTTTTGCCAAAACCCAAACCCCATAAATCAGTGCTGCAGTTTATTTATACTAGAGTAAAAACAATAGAAATTCAGGAACTTCTTCAGTAATCAAGCTCTTACTTGGAAAATTTCAGGAGGTATATGTCTTATTGCTGATGGCTGGAAATATGGCATCAAGCTTTTATCAAAAGCTTTTAATTCATCCTCATTCAAAGCACCTAAAAACCCACATAATAGAAACAAAACTAAATTAATGTTCTTTTTATTAAGTTTATTTTTAAGGTAGCATAAACTTTATGCCCTTATAAAAATATATAATAAATTGTTTATTCCAGGATGTTATATAGAGAAATGCTGGTTCTTTCTCTGTTTTGTTTCTTTCATTATATTTCAGCAGTACAAATCCTCTGACCTTAGCCATTGACATGGAATGTACTCTACCCAAATTACTTTATCTCGGAAAAGAAAATTATAAAAGCCTATAAAATCATAAGCAATGTTATTACAGAAAGCTCATTCACAGTCTTTTCTGATCCATGGTTAGGGAGCATAATCATGCAACAGGAGTGACTTCTTCACCACTTAGGTGGTTATGGTGGGGAATCATTGCCACAAGCCCTGGGGATGCTAAAAATTATGACAGCTTAATGTGCAGTTGAACAATAGCAGGGAAACAAATCCAGGAACAAAACTGGGAGTGACCTCTGGCTCAGGAGATCTCCGAGGCTGCAAGAGCTCTTTGGAAAAGTCTCACTCCAGGCCAGTCCTGCCCCTTGTGCTCTTCCCTGGGCAGCCCATCCTTTCCAGGCAGGATACCTGGGCAGCAGAGCACAGCCTGGTTCACAAAGAGTGACTGGATCTGGAACCCTGATTGGTTTTGCCTTCCTTGATTTACCCTTTCCAGCTTACAGGACCCAAGTAACTTCAGGCTGTGCTTCCCAAGGTCAGTTTGACCAGACTGACAGAACCTTACAGAGCATACCACGACTTTTCCTTAGTGCTTCTGAAATTGCTGGATGTCTGTCCCTGCAGGTGACTCCCCTCTGGAAGAAATGTCTTTTGCCAGTCTAGAAAAATCCCCAGCTAAGTAAACCCGTCTCTTAATAGCAATGCTTCACAACCATCACCATCTGGAGCTGCAGCTTTGTTACCTGCTATAGTACCAATTTCCTGTAAAATAGAGCCATTCCAGCTGGTAGCAGCACCAAACACAGATTCTGTCATCTTCTTAAACTGCCTCAGAACAGGGGTGCTACAAAACAACAGGCCAATTCTTGCAATTGCAGCACTGCAAAAGGCAAAAAGGTCATCATTACAAGCTGCATTTACATGGAGTACTAAATAGGCCGGGAATATACTTAGCCTGCTGTAAGAAGACTGTAAAACCCATTTTCAATTTAAAATATATGTGCACAAATTGCATACAAATATTTCAAATTTTAAGCAAAAACCTGTATTTCTTGATGCAATACTTAAATGGTGGGATATAAATGGCAGAGGAAAACTATAAAAGAACATGTTTTAAACAACTGCTGCATGCCTTCTGCTTTTCTAAAAGCATTTAAAATGTAAAAAGGTGTCCTTTAGGCTCTGAAAATCTTGATGGAACAAAAATGGCACAATAAATTTTATCAACAGAGTTACTAATAAATATTTCATTAGATATAAAATGCAGTACCTGAATTCAACAGTCCTTATGGATGTGATTTCTGTGGAGTTCAAAGCACAGAGAACAGCTCCTAATCCAACTAAATCAAAACTTTTTAATGTGCTGATGGTCTGGCCAGAGTCATCTAGAAAACCTTGCAAAATAGCTCTTGCCTGCAATAGAGGTAAGATAGTATGCATGAACAGGGTAAATATAATTGACGGGTTTGTTACTAGATGCTTAAAATCTTACCAGAAGCTATGGAGCATAAATATCTATCCTGAGCCTCCCCAGTGTATGGCCATGGCCTTCAGGAGGAGCACTGTCACCACCTACATGTGACACTAAAACAGGGAACTGTTACCCACCACTTGCTAAATGCAAATGGTGTGAAAACACTCTGTACTTCTTCTGCCAGGTCACAAGGAAAGCCTTCACCAGAAGAAATGGTGCTGGATTGATTCACAGAATCAGTTAAATTGCTACAGGAAAGCATAAAAAACTAAGGGGATCAATATGTAATTTTATTATGTTTAATACTCAGGATGACTTGCCTCATTTAAGTGCCATATATGAGTGGTGACCTGTGTCAAGGATTCATTTTCAGATATGAATGGGATATTGGTACCAAAGTGCCTTTGCAAACTAATTTAGGATGGTGCTCATTTTAAACTAACCCTTTAAAAACTGAGCCCATCTCAAGCATGTCACCAAGGAATCCTCCAAAGCCAGTGAAAGAAACAATCATCTTTCAAGATTTCCTAAACTATCCACAATGCTGAGCTTCAAATAACTAGCTTAACTAGCTGCCAAACTTTTAAGACAACTGAAATTCGGCAGGATTAATCTCTTTTAACTAACTACTCTTACTGATAGCAGGAAACCTCAAAAGCAAACTGGCTCTGTATAAAATCCTCCCATGTGCCCTTCAGAACATTAATCTATTAAACGGATTTGTGATATTCTGCCAAAACTGCCACCATGCCAGCATCTGTGGAGCCACAGAGCCCTGATGGTATGGGCCACCAAGTCAGAAATATGCTGCCAATTGCAAATATAAATAAAAGTTTTTAACTCTTATTATGAAAGTCCCATTGACATAACTAGAAGTTATTCAAGGAAAAAAACATGAGAGGAGTGTATCTGCTAATAAAGGGCTTCCAGGGCAATGGATGCTGGGGTTGGGGCACACTACCTATTCTGTGATTGTCCTTAGGAAGGACCAGCACTCCTAGCAGGAGTGTCTATTTCAGGGACAGAAATGTGAGAGGAGCTGCTGACCTCTTTCCACTGCTTAGGGGACAAGTGCTAAAGAACACACTCATCTCCACCCCAATTACCAGTGATTGGTGCTATCTTGGCCTCCTCCCCAGGGAAGCCCCAGCCAGGCAGACAGCAGTGTTGACCTATCTGGCCATTTTCACTGGAGTCACAGCTGCAGAAAAGCAGCAGGGAGTATTGTGGGTCTCTGGATCTGTTTTCTAGACAATTCCAGGACTTGAGTCCCAAAGGGCATGAATTCAGAGCCTTTCAGCAGGAGTACATTCAGTAACTCACTCACTCACCTGGGTAAAAGTCCACCCTGTTTGCTGACTAAGAGCAGAAACTGTGTCGATGGAGTGCAGGTCCAGCTCTGTGATTTCCTGTTCAGTGAGTGCCAGAGCAATGTGGCCCAGGGAGATGATTTGGTAACTTCTCCAGTCTGGCAGCAAACCCCAGACCTTTAGATGAGAGTCATTAGTATCTGTTAGATTATTATGACTCTTCCTCTATATTCATCATTCTCAAATCTCTTGGTTCAAAAGTCCTAAAACCAGAATATTCCTCTGCACGCAAAAGGCAGAGCTGAGGTATTGTAAAGGTTTTTGACGTTCTATACCAATAATGATTGATTCATCTAAAAATGCTGCAATTTCTACAGTTTGGACTTGTTGATGAGTCAGAATAGGAACTGCTGGAAGTCTGGCTGTAGGAGCAAAACCACTAAGAACAATTAAAATGGGAATCTATGCCTAGATCCGCACTGTTATACTGCCAAGAAAGCAGCACCTGCACTACCCAGGCTTCTACCCAGTTGCAATGGCTCCAGGGGACTGATTTTAAGTGCCTTTTGTGAACAGCCACCCTGACTCAGTCACTGATAAGGAAAGACAAAGTAGAGAATCAAGTAATACAGGCAAAGAACCAGTTCCTAAAGTTCTGATTTCTAGATTGTGTTCATACAACGTTAAAATTAAAAATAGTTCAAAAGTGCTTGTACAGATACAGTTAAATTTGTAAAGCTTTGTAAAAAACCCGAAGAAATAAGCAGGGGCTCTTCTAAACCAGCACCAATGTATTTAAACTGACAACTTCCCCTGCTTTTAACTTTGTTCATGATAAAGTGACAGTGATTGAAAAGCTGTCGCCGAGCAGCCCAAAGGAAATTTCGGTATCAGAAAAAGTTCTGCCTGAGTAAAGAATAATACAAGTCCATCAAGAACTGAATTTTCAGAGGCCAGAACTGTCAATTACATTTCCTTGACAATGGTAGAAGACTGTAGACAGTGGTCAGTATCTCCCCAGATGTAGCCAATTGCCTTACAGAAAAAGACACTGGATTTTGGCTGGAGGAAGTGACTTAAACAAGACAGGCACACATTTAAAAAAAAAAAAAGCTCGCTTTAAAGCTCTTGAGTACTTCAGCTACTCTGCTTTGTGTCAGTGAATACATGACAGGTTTCCAGTATAACATCATGCTGCTTACTCTACCTAGAAAATTAAAACTAAAAGCCCAGGGCTGGGCTACTATCTGAGTAAAAAATATTTATTCCATTTTTGGGATAGCAACAATTTAAGTTTTGTTCAAAAAGTTAAAAAGGACAAAGCTAGTGGGGACTTGCTGAAGAGCATCTCTGCAGTTGCTACTAAATAGTGTTTGCACCATCAGATAGACATGGAGCTGTACAATCTCCAGAAAATATAAAAGTAGAGCTCAGGAAGCTGGATCTATGAAATTAAGTACTCCTTACACAGAGCTGCAGGCTCTCTGCTGTGCACATCCAGCACAGAGCCAGCTCAGCTGCCAGGCTGCTTTTCCCAGCTATGACCCTCAGGTTAAGGATTTGTTTAAGAGATGCATTGCTGGACTTGTACCTCCCAGCTGAGCTTCCACCATACCTTTTATGTTGGTTTTACAATGTCATAAAGGGTCTAAGTCTGGGAAACTTCAATCTTTTCCAAAGCAAAAAGACAGTAAAAAGCATTAGCCCAATTTTAAAGCTTTTAATTCTCTAGCTTAAGAGATACATGAAACACATGCAGGCAAAAATGCCAAGTGTCTGTTTCCAGATCTAGGCCATAAACTACAGAATTTGAAATACTTCATAAATAGTATTATCTGACAGGGCTGGGTGAAATCTCAGGCAGAATGATATAAATAACACAACACATGAAACTGAAACACTCCTTTGTCCTCATTCACCTAGAACTACAGATCCATACGGCTGTCAGTGCTGCAGAGCTGGGAGACCTTCCACTTACAAGTGAGCTAAGCCTCTTACTTTCATTAAGATACAATCTGATAACTAGACTTTTTGAATTAGTTTGGAACAATGAGTAGTTCAGGCTTAATGAAACCTCTAATCAAAGATGTTAATAACATAACAGCATCTATGCACATAATTTCAAAGAGCTTTGCCTGTCCTGTCTCATTTCTCATGCTTCATGCTCAGTGTAACACCACATTGCATTTTGAAATTAATATACAGGAAGTCAGTCTTTGTCTAGCAGAAATCTGTGCAAACACTCACAGACAGAATATACTGCCATTCGGTGCACTACAGATCTGAGAGTCTTTGAATATAGCCAGAAATGTGAGTGGATCAACCTTGTTAGCAATTTCCCTACAACTGATATCTCTCTGTAAGTACACCAACATATTGCACTGCTGTAAAGAATAGTAGCTTTCACTATGTCAGGGGAGCACTGTTTTTATTTTCTTCTAGGATTATATTTCTTCCCCTTTTCCTACCCACCTCTGTCCATGCTGACAGAGGTAAGCTGACTTGGGAAGAATACATATGCTGCAGTTGTCCTCCTGCAACAAGGCAGCAGAGACACAACTGCAGAGTCACCATCTGCTTTCAGAAATCTGTGCAGTGCCACTTCTCTTCAAGCACCTGCAGTTCTACTGTTTTAAAAGCTGAGCTTCATTGCTAAAAATGGCACAGTTTGCCTTATTTACCCCCAGTCCATGGTCAGCTCCACTACTGACTGCAGCTGCTGGTTTAAGGAGATGCTGCCCAGGCCCACGTTGCCCCTGCTCCTGCTCTCCTCCAGAGGTCACAGCCCTCAGGTCTCCAAGCCTCTTGCACTCTGTACTACTTGCAGCCAACTGCAACTTGTAGATGCTTCCCAACCTCATTCTGTCAGAATGATCTGATGGAACCTAAAAAGGACTTTTACATGTTGGATCATTTTGACAGAAGAGAATTACAGAATAACCATGCAGAGATGGAAGCAGAGAACAGATAACCTCCAGCAGATGCTGCTGACAGGAAGATGAAGCCAGGTTGGGGCAGTAGCTTCTTCACCTCTGAGTTTTCTGCAACCAGAACAATTTGTCTTACTGCACCCTAAGGCTTTTTCCTGCTGAACTAGAAGTATGTTTGAGAATTTCCCTGTTCCCTGGCAGTGCAGGCAACCACAAAGCAGCAAGAGGCCACCCCAGGGAGAAGTGCAATGGCAACAGCAGGGACTTCTCTGCCAGCCCACTGTGTCTCAGGCAGGGCTGCTCAGAGCTCTGTTGATGCCCCAGACCCAGGCAGAGTGCTGACCTGCCCCCAGCACAGTCCTCTGTCCAACTGTGCTCCTGGTAAAGACAAAATGTAGGTGGGAGTTTTCCTCCCTAAAATTTCCCACTGATGGATCTGTCCCTGTCTGTGAGAAGGTGGAAAAAGGAGCTTTATTCAGCCAACAACTGCCTTTCAGTCAGTTTGGGTTCACCCCACTGTAAGCTATATTTAGCATCCATGTAGACAGTTTAACATGCCAAGCTTAATTCTCAGCAGGGCAATCAACAGCCCCTAGTACTGCTTGCTGATTTTTCATTTATGAAAGGAAAGTGAGAAGCAAGCAGAAAAGTAATTCAAAAGTAAAACCACTTCACTTTTCCAGCTGCCAATAGCTCAGAACTACTTGCCTCTTGACTCTAAAGCAAGGGCAATAGTCTTCTATCACCACCTCACATTATTTTTCCAATAAACCATAGATATTCTTGTGGCTGTAGTGACATTGACATAGCACAGTTATTTTAGAACTGCATAGTTCAATAACACCAAATCAAATTACAGATTTAATTTTCCTTCACAGACAGGACAGTTACCTGCTTGGCTTTTTCCTTCAAGGCAGTCAGCTGGGAGCTGTTAAAACCTGAGACACCCCCAAGAAGTTCCACATTTTTGTCAAAAGTCCCTGGATCCATGCATTTCAGTTCCTGAACTGACCAAAAGATATTTGCTTCTCCTAATTTAATGATTTCATTTGAAGAAGGAGCTCTGGTTCTCAGGCAATCTGAAAAAAGGTCAAATAGCAAGAGTTTTTATCAGAGACAACAAAATAAATCAAAGCAATATTGATATTTAAGAGAGCAACAGACTATGAAAATTTACTGCTGCTGATGTGATATTGTTAAATTAATTATTTTGTAATTGAAGAATTTAAAAATATTTATATTATTAATGTTCTGGATATAAAACTATCAGTATCTTGCAAGTTTCTTTCAAGTCTAATTCTCTAAAGGAGTCAAAACCCAGGCAAGGGCTTGTTCTGAGTTTAAGCCACCATTTGCTGGGAACCTTGATTCAACAGGAGTGAAACGCAAATGTTTGGGGTGACCCTGGTGGAAATTCACCCAAAAGAGCTTCAGCTGAATAAACATCACATTCAAACAGTGGATGCAACTCAACATGAACATAACAGACAGGAGAGGTCCTTGCACTCTGAAATGCCTGATAGAGATATATGTCTTGTAAGACTAGCCTGACATTTAAACAAGGTGAAGACAGAAGCTGGATGTGTCAGAGAAGCATGGTGCTTTTTCCTTATGTCAAGCCTGTTGTTAAAATGTCAGGATCTAGAGAGGGCTGTACACTTACCACAGGAATGTTTGGACAGACAAACTGCCTTTAAAAATCTTATTTACAGTCAGGTTCCAGGCCTATGCGTTATCAAACCAGACAGTTTCCATAGTGTGTTTTAACAAATCCTAGTCTTTGTTGACATAATCTACCTCTATTGTTGATGGAAAGCAGAAATAAGAATCCTAATGTGGTTGTTTATTGCTCCCTCTCCTGTTACTAATTTAGAGAAACCTTATTAAATAATTATCTAGACTAAATAATCCCTACATGTCTTTGGATATGGTCATTACCAGTGAAAAGCATGAATTTCACAGATGTTGTGCCTCAGCTAATCTCCCCCAGATAAATAAATTAGAGCCAGGATGTACAAAGTAGATTTGTACTTTAAAAGGAGGCAGAGGAGGGATTTATTTGCATCAAAGAAAGCTGCAGTAGTGGGTAGAACACTGAAAAGATTGAATCTGTTGAGAAAATGAAAATGCTGCTCAGCTTCCACTGTACCAGCTGATCTTCTGCTCTCCCTTTACCTCCCTCTTGTGAAGCTGCATTGTTTTCCTTTCCCTTGCTGCAGAAGGTCAGCTTTTCTCATGTAAATACTGCTCATCCAGACACAGTGCAGGTCCCTTCCCCAGGTCATGAAAACCTAAGATTAGGTGTTCTTGAAAAAAAAACATTGATTTTATAATTTTTAACACACAAGATACACTGATGCAATTAAAGAGGGAAATACTAATTAGGTTTTGGACCTGGTGCCACTTTGCTGTTCCTTTTGCTATAGATTTAGTTTGATGAAAAACATATATATACACATTATAACATCTCAGGTTGAGAAACCTGAATTCTTTCTCCAGCACTGCCACTGCCCTCTGGTAGCATCTCAGACACACAGTTCCCTGGCTTTGCTTTTCATGTTCCATCTTGCCTTAAGCACCTTAAAACTTTTGCTTTTAATCTTGATATAGACATAGGTGCAAGAACTCTGTAACTGGTAATTGCTACTGTTATTAAAATTAGCTCACAACTGGTCTGTGAGAAACGCAAAATAGCATTGGTGGCATGAAAAACATCAACGTTATTCTGGAATAATTTTCATAATACCCATTTTTTTAGTGATTTACAAATCAGTAATTAAATTTCATTCCTTACTGAAACCACTGTGTGAGTTGTATGGAGCTGATGAGATTATGTTTGGGGCTGCAGAAGCATTTCCTTCAACAAACAATACTTCAACTGCTCATCTCCAAGATTCCCCCCAGTTGGGCTCGTGCACCCCAAGTGGAGACTGAGGAGCCTCCATGGCCTTGGAATCAAGTTCTCCTTTGACAAAGACCCTCAGCTCCACTGGCATTGGTCTTGCAATGCAGATGAGAGAGCTCTGCAACTGCACTGGACATGAGCTGGGCTGATTAGAGAAGTCTTTGGGATTCATGTAGATCCAGAGGCTTAAAAAAAAAAAATCCACTTAGGGGACACAAGCATACTGAAATACCTGTTGCTGAACCTTCAGTCCTATGGCCTATGTCTAAAGAAATATGGCTTATGATCGGCTGATTTACTTGTTGAAGGAAGAGTGAATTTCATGCACACAGGTGAACGAACCCCCTGCTATTTCACCAGCTGAGTCATGCTTTTTTTAGAGCCTGATGATTGTGCAATGACTTCTCCGATCAACTGAGGTCATGTTTTGTTTCAGGCTATGAAAAACACAACTCTCAGAACTGCCTCCACCTCTCTCTGCCTATGAATACAGCACTGTAAGAGGCAAATTCATGCCCAGAGATACACAGCCATCATTCAGAGTTCCTGCTATACAAGCAGATGGATTTCCAGGGTGGCTCAGGGCTTGCTGAGAGCTTGAACCTCTATTCTGCTAGGCAGAGAACCAAGGGGGAGATTTTCAAAGGCCAAGGCAGACAAGATCAAACTCCTTGAATATCTTTGGGTCTAAATTCTCATTGGTGCTTTTCAAAAGCTTCCCCCACAGCAGGATTGTTTTCCATGGCATAGGATGGCACAGCTTACAAATTCTGCCTGGGTGAATTTCAGACAAGAGAAAGAATAGTTGTAATTATAATAACAGAATATAGTCAGAGTATCTATCTTATATAAAGAAAATAATCCATTTGTCACCAGAGATTCTAATAGATTAGTTTGGTTGCTAATTAAAATACCTTTTAGATGATTACAAACTTTGTCCATTTGGACAGAAAAAACACAGTGCCACCACTGTCAGATTTAAGAATGGATCAGTCACCATATGCTCATGTCTGGCAAAGGATTAACTATATGCAATCTTTTGGCTCAATGGTAACTTGCCACCTTCACAGATTTTAATTCAAGGGGTTTAAATTAGATTACAAAGTAAAAAAAAAAAAAAAATTAAAAATAAACAAACCCCTCTAATTCAAATAATTCATCTTTTTCCTTTGTGCATTCAGAAGGATTCCAGGAAATGCTTAATTATGCAATCTTGTAATGAAAGTTTCAGCAATTAGTGCATTATACAACTCTGATGAGCAGCAGAATGAAGACTCTCACTGTTTTAGCCTGAAAGCCTATAAGTTTATAAACTCAATACTTCACTTTTATCATTCAGCTTCTCAGAAGGCATTTGATGACAAAGTGAGAGAAAGTCTGTTTGAATTGCACCATCTCAGCCCCAAATGGCAGCACTTTGCAGAGGCCCCCGTGCAATACTGACCAGCTCTGCTGAGAGACAGGCGGGCGCTGCCAGTGCTGCTGGAGACTGACTCGAACACAGCTGACAGAAGCTCTTCAGCTGAAGAAAGTGGTCCAATTGTCTTTGCTATTTGTAAAATGATATCTGGGAACTTCAAAAGGAAAGAAAGAATAAATAAGGCTTCTCTCCCTTTTAAAACAAATCAATTTGTGGAGAAAGACTTGTGCAGACCTTAGCAAAGCAGGGGTTAGTAGCAGTTCAGTCTCGTCCCATTGTGCAGATGTTTCAGAAAAGAGTAATTGGCTGCTATTGAAAGGTCATTGGCACACATTTGAGGGGGAAAAATTAGGAACAAAGCAAATTTTGAGTGATTCTCCCTCCTGTATGCCCTCCCAGCTTCTGACACCTGAGCACTGGCTGATTGGTGTCTGTGTCCAGCCCTTCCTGGAGCAATGAGTGACACCATTTTAATTTGGGCTTCATTTAACTTGTCTTAAATTTGCCAGATAAGTATGTGAATTGAGGATAGGGACCCAATTAAATTATGAGAAATAACTTTGACCTGTTTGCCTTCTTTAGGCTTTTCTGACCTCTCTCCTCCATCCTGCTAGACACCTTCCTTTCCTTTGATGAGTCTTATTCTATCTGGTCAATTATAAGCACTATCTCCAGTGGAAAACCTGCTGACTCTGTTCACATATTTCTGCTGAAGAATGAATCCCCCATTTCAGTATAGTTTACTCCTATGCATAAAAACATTAAGATTATATTAACTAAAGAGGGCAAGGAAATTACAAAGTGCAATGCTGAGGCCATCAGATATTGTTACTTGTGTTATGCTGGCCCCAGGGCAAAGGGCCACATGAGTAAATGCTAATTTGATCAGTATGGCCCCATTAATAAAAGGATAAGAAACACAACTTTTATGGTTGGAAGGCAGAAGGATGGAGTAAAGAGCACTGCAAGGTGTAAAGTACTAAAAATGAGTCTGCATCACTATTAATGCCCCTTTTTTCCCTATGTGACAATTACAATTGTCATTGTACACATGCAAGTAATTGTTTATAGTAACATTACTCTCAAGAAGAAATCTCTTTGATGGAGTCAAGAATATGTGAAACATTAACACAGGATTCCTTGACAAAAGAATTATTTACCTAGTTCAGCATTCAGGTTAGTTAATTTAGACTGCATTATGATATTCACAAATCCAAGTTCTAAAATATATGGTACAAATTTAAATTTTTAAATAAAAGCATACCTTTTCAGCAAGGATATTTAATTCCTCTCTTGACAACATAACTATGAATGGTCCAACATCTAATGTTGTTTGTGCTGTCCAGTTGTTTGAGGAGCTGAAAAAATATTTTTAAAAATTATATTAATAAAGACCATTACAAAAAAATACTAAAACTTCAGTGTTTTTATGATACTTTTTCATACAGGGAACACAATTCTATGCTAATGTGATGATTCATTGTTATAAGCATCAGATTGCATTTTCTCATCTCTCTGGGCATAGGGCATTAGTGGAACTCACAATATAATCAGAAAAACCCTTCAAATATGGTGGTGATGGAGCTCTCCCTCAATAGTCAAGTGTTCTTAGTATTACAGTGTTTGAACAAGGAGAAATAATTCTTTGAAAGAAATTTTACCATTTTCTGTCAGTTCATATTGCAATAGCAGTCTGCAAAATGGTTATCAAAAGAGAAGTAGAAACATCATCTAAATCTGACAAATGTCAGTCAACCCATTTGGTGGGTGAATTAATAAAGCACTTAGACACGTTATTTTCAGCCTGACAGAACCTATAGAAGAGTGTAGTAACAAATATGTTACTAGCTCATTTTCCCACAAACAATTTTATTAGCTTTGTTGCTCAACTATCAGGATGTTTAAATATCTTCAAAATTAAACTATAAAAAATAATGTAAAATCTTATTTAGCACAGTGAGCATGATTCAATAAAACTGATTTGTATCAAGATCAATGCAGGGATGGGATCTGCTGGAACATACAGCTATCCTATCACAGAAAAAAGCTGACTAGCTGGAAGCTGAACAGCATCTAAAGTGATCAGGTGGATCAAGTGACTGACTTTGGGGTGAAGGAGTGGTTAGAAACTGTGCAACCAGTCTCCCTTTTCAAATGCAAGACACTTCCAAGGGACAATGTAAACAGAAACAGTATATTCTTGCCGGATAGAGGATGGCTTTGTTCTTTGCATGACTGATACCAGTGAGGTTCCATTCGCCCTCCAAATCTGAGTCCTTAGTGACACACAACACACTGCCCACTCTGCTGCTGGAGATACTCGGACTTTACATCCCTCTGCTTCTTCTCTGCTGTCTCCTACTACCACAGGTGCTTGCAGATTTCTTTACTTGTCTTCTCACACCAGAACACCAAGTACCCCACTGACATTTTCCCATTCTTTGCGTTCCTGCACCATTCTCTGCTTGTAACCCCCTTCTCTTTCCAGGCCAATGAGTCTATTTGCCTGTCCCCCCCTAAACACTACACTTTCTCTCCTTTTCCTCTGGCACTTAAGTCATGCAGGGTGTCCTTGGGGTTGTATTTTGTTCGACAGTTATCACATTACACACAAGAACAGAAATGTCATTCTAGTGGACAAGACTCTGAACTTGGGCAGTGACAGAAGCTGCTTTGTGCTGGTTTCACTGCAGTTCATCTGGACAAAGCAAATGCTTGGTGTTTGCATGGCCTAAGCAGCATCATGACCACGGTGGTGTATCCAATACCTTACCCATATAACTGATGGAGTTTGTATTTAATTTCAGTCTTCTGCTCGTGGCTGAGCTTTTGGCAAAGTTTGAATTGATGTAGGGCTGCTGCCATTGCCTTCAGGGACATTCTGCCATGTAGAAAGGCTGGAGGTAAGTGGCAGATTAGATTTCCAAGGAGGTCAACATCATATTCATCAGCAACGGAGCTGTTCTGAAACAAGAAGCATTTACCTTGTTGGCAGACCTAACCTGGGCTCTTGCCCTGTGCCACTTAGCTGCATCACAACTCATTTAAGCTATAAGGAACAAAGACACAACAGTTTGCACTGGCAACTTAATCTACATTTTCTGCTGAGACTACTTTATGTTTTTTGGTTTACCAATCCAGCTGGTGATATTTCATAAGAACTTCTCAGAGCTTTCAGTATTCTTTATTCCATACTGAATCACACATAAAGAATGTGACCACCCAGCACCTGCAGAGCTGGTGCAGTTCTGTCTGGCAGCACAGCCCTCATGTGGCCCCTTGCAGCAGAGGGGCCCCAAGCTCTGCCTGTTGGAAGGTTGAGCTCTAAGGGGTTTCTCAAGCAGCTGCCAAAACATTGGGGATTATACAGCTGGTGCTGTGTGTAAGGACAGGAATAGCCACAGCTACATCAAAGAACTAGTTTCCCCTTAAAATTGGTGAGTGCTGCAGCTCCCAGACAGCAGAACTCACAAAACCTTCCTGGTACCACCACCTCTCCTGTGGAGCTCCCTGTGCCACAACAGCTCTGCTTGGACTGGCACTGCTTGGACCCAGGGGAACAGCTCTAGGTGCAAACTGGTCAGCTCCAGGCTGTCCTGGCCAGCAAGGACATTTCATGAGAACACTTTCTAACACGCATGGAGTCAAGGAAAATTGCTAAGCAAGTTATAAAAAGGTTTCCTTAAAGAGCAAACAATAAAATTGAACAGTACATAAATCCCCCCCAAAAATATAGATGGATGGGTGAAAAATTAATGTGGTGACTCTCTCCTCGTCCATGGTGTCTCTTCCTCTGCTGACCCCTCTCAGCCATACCCACCAAGCACTCCTGTACTTTTTGCAGGACAACATCCCTTTTATGAAGGCTTGGGTTCAGAAGGTCCATCCCAATCTTCCCCACACGTTCAAGGAAAGGGACACACAAAGGGCCTGTAACATACTCCAGGTACTCAGAACTGCAGAAAGAATGCAGAAGGTCTCAGAATGTAAACCTGACCTTCCTAAACCCACAACCATACCCATGAAATCTGTGATGACAGAAATATTTAGAGACAAGGCTGGACTTGAAAAATCATAAACCAGACAGGCCAAAAAAATTGCAATTAACCCTTGCCTTACTTCAATATCCATCTTCTTCCAGTCCATCAGGACATGAACTGAACTTCAAAAAATGGCTAAGAATTATAAATAGCTGCAAGTGTATGAAAGGGCTCTGAGATGCTTTAACACCATATGGAACAACAGTTTACAGCTCAGAAGTTTTTCGCTTTCTCTGTTTTGTTAGGAATAATTCTCTGATGAATGAAAATGTGGTGCATGGCCTGAGGACCACAAGTAGTTTTAGAGTAGGTTACCTTTTTATCAAAATCCAAAAATCCTGCCAAATTAAAAAAAAAAAAATGTTCTTCTCCACACAGAGTGGCAGATAACCTTTGCAAATAAAGCCACAGCCCACATCTGCACAGGCCCAGCCTTGACAGGGTCTGTGGGCACCAGTAACTTCTGATGGCCCTGAACAGCCAACGTGCAACTGTTGCCAAATAACTGAGTGCTGCAGTTTGTAGGAAGCCTTGCATTAAAGTCTTTCTATTATTATTTTATAGTTGTTAAGTAGAACAGAACCTTCTCAAAAGGAATACTTTTCTTACTTTGTTCAATTAATAAATATTCCACAAAAAGAAGGGTTCTCAGTCCCTTTTACCCCCTTAGGCACATAGAAAGAAAGAGAGAAAGGCCAGAAGAGACAGAAAGAGAAAGTGAGAGAGACAAAGAAAGAAAGGAAGGAAGGAATTAACAAATTTTACAGTTCAGGAGTTCTCATCCATACACAAGTTATTTTTTCCTAAGGAAAAAAGCTGTCACTGAGAAGTTTTGCTAAGTTACACAAATGTCTTGAAACACACTGGAATGCTTCCAACCATTCAAGCAATATGCTTCTGCAGTATCCAGTGGTTTTGTCTTATATATCCACTCTCATAAAAACCCCTAAACAAATAAGCAAACCTAAACCAAATAAGCCTACCTATGGGGAAAAAAAAATCCACCATTGTGACAAAAATGTAGTAAAAGACACAAAGTATTACCAACATTCACTTGATACAGATTTTTGCCTACAGTCAGTGACCACTTTTGATAAATTACCATTTATTTGAATCATCAGTTTTCTTAGGACTGAAGAGATTATTTGAAAAGTGCTCAGAAGTTAAGATGGACTAAGATGTAACTTACGGAAGTGCCAGTAAGAGGAAGGGAGGAATGGATGCATTGGAGACTTTCCAAAATTTCCAAGCCAAACAATTAACCTAAAGGCAAAAAATGTAGGATCTTAAACCTCTAGCAGTTTTGAAGAAGAATAAAAAATATGACTTGTTTATTGCAGCATATATATAAATTAGCATATATAAGACTGTGCATATTATCTTCAGAGAGCATTTTTATTTGGCTTTTTTAGTTTTCTTTTTGCAGACATCAGAGATGAAACATTATATATTTGGGAACGTGAGAATATTTGTATGTTTCTGAAACTTCTATGTATTTCCAAACAGATTACTCATGAATTAACAATTCAGAAGGGCTGTAGGAATTTCTTGCAATTTGTAAGTGACAAATGAAATTGTCAAAATGAAGTATGATAACAGACAAATTCACACATAAAAGATTTAAATAAAATATGCTAACAGACAAGTTGAGACATACAGGATTCAGAAAAAAAATCCCAAAAATTCCAAAGACAAAACAGAATGAACCAAATTTTAATCTACCTAATTTGGATATTGGGTAGTATGTTTATGTACATAAATTATTTTTTGTTTGTTTACCTGATATGGAGAAAGCAGATGAAGATTCATTTCAAAGAATTTAAAATTATTTAAAAATATGTCTGTGTCCATACTTTCAAAGAGTTGACAAGTTACTCCTTTCACAAGCTGTCCTGTACTGATAGGAAAGGCAAATTTCAATCTTATGAATATTTAAGCAGGATCTAGTCCTTACTCTCCACAACCCCATCCTAACACACAGTTTCTTCACCTCTCCCATTTTCTGCAATTAAAAGGATCTTGAGAGTAAATATGCAAACAAATTGAAAAATATCAACTTAAAACACCCAAACCTCTGCAATGCTTTGATCCTCACTTTGGTTTTGAACACCATTTTTAATAAGGAAGCTGAATTATCCTGTGGTATCCATGCATGAATAAACATAAGGTAATACATAAAAATCACATATTGTTTACCTCAAAGTCACTGTCATCACAAAACTAGTCTTAAACCCCATTTCAAAAGAGATACAGTTCATACCTTACAAGGTCAACAGGATAGTTTTCCTTGGACAGTAATTCATACAGATACAAAGCCTGAAAATAAACACATCATAATTAAAGGTAACTTTAGTTAATCCAGTTGTAAGAGATATAAACTACTGCAAAGCTTTTGTACTCTAAGCTCTCTCATGTACCCTAAAGGTACTTATATGGTCCAGCTTCAGCAACCAAAAGGTTTGGCACCCAGTTTAGATGAATTTTTTTCTTCACAAGACAAACCATCACTGACTGGTATTATGGAATGATGTTAAAGCTGCACACATCCCACAGCCACTAAAAAACTTAGGGCTGAAGGGAGCTCTGGAGATCATCTGATCCAACCTTTCATCTCTCTAGACACGACAAGCAAATGTCTAATATGCAGTACTGGAAAGAGAAAATGTACATGGCAGAAACCTGGGGGCTTAGATTCAGCATATTAATGCTTCCTCTTCCATAGCATTGTCTCATAGTGCTGCTTGGGCTCTAAATGCCCTTTGGTGTTTATGTTGAGATTTAACTGGGACAGTTCCTTCCTTTTACCTGTATTCCATGAACACAAACACATTACACCACTTTTCCAATTCTCCCATCACACTAAATTGCAGTGGAATGGGAACTGCATAACAATTTTTACCTGGCTGCTTCTTAGTTCTTTTTCTTTCAGCATTGAAGAATTATATCCACTTTGCTTCCATAAACCAGAAAGAGAGACTTCTTTAAAGAAAGCTCCTTGTATATCTTTGACTGATGAAGAAAAATCTCCAGATGCAGCAATCTAAAAAGAGAAACACAGAAATACATGGCATTTCTGAACTGATGCTTAGATTTACAGGATTTGCCCTTCTTTCTATTCTGTGTAATATTTCTCTTAAGAGGATAAAGGAAAAACACAACAGGATTAAAAACTCAATGAAATAAGCAAGAGAGAGCCTTCAAAATACCCTTGGTGTTCAGAAAAAAAGCAGTAGAACCATTAACCATTGAGCTAAAGGACATATCTTGGTTTAATTCATGCTCTACAGTTCTGGTTATGGCGCTCTTGTGCAGAGAGAACCTGCCACAAGCTGGAGTTAATAATCACCTTCCTGAGAATGCCCTGCTGCTGTGCAGGAGATAAGTCAGACAAGTACTGGGATGTTGTGCCTCGAATGATCTGAGCCAGCTCCCTGGGGCTCATGCTGTGCAGTGACCGGGTGCCAATTCCTGTCACCAAGGCGCCCATTTGGCTCACATTGTAAAATGATAAAACCTGCAGGGAGAACAGCACAAGCAAACAGGAAGTTTTATTGAGACCAGCAGATGTATTTAAAAGCAAAAGTCAATAAATAAAGCAAAACTATTCTTCTTAAATACTTAATGCATTTCTTGCCTGGGAATGCATTTTCTGCGTCTGTTCATGAAACAAATGCCTGAAGTTTCTCAGAAGTTCCTTTTTCTGAAACTTAAACCAGGACCTGATTCCTTGCATTACAGTATACTTGAATATACAGCCTCAGATCTCTGACCATGCAAATTCTGTTTAGGGCAGTGACACAGATAAAATAATATACACAACTGCCAAATCCAAATACTCATTCTCCCTGTTACTCGAGAATTACTTTGGGATGTATAGTCTTGGATGCTTTTATTTGATTTAAACATATTTTCCAGGCCACTAACTAAATTGAATTCTTATATTAAACTTTTCAAAAGCTACAGTTATTGTTGAGAAGAAGCCATTTCACTTTTAAAAACAGAAGGTAGGAAAGCTGTTCTCAGAGGTACCTTTTCATAAGAGAGATATTTACTGGATAAAATCATAACTTGGCTCTTTGCCCACCCAGAGACTTGGTTTAATGTTGCAACAGCATTATGCACTGCTTCAGGTGACAGAGATTCCAGCTGACTTGAAGTTAATCCAACCACAGCATCTGACAGAGATCCAAGGGTATCATTCAATGTCTGGTTTTGCATGGCAATGTTCAGGAGCTGAGATTTGAGCTAAATCAAACAAAAAGAGCAGATCACAAATAAAAATCTGCCAATAACCAATTTCCATTACCACCCAAAACATTAACTGGAATCTCTGGAATAGGCATTGGCAAATATTCACACACTTCATAAAATTTCAAAAAGACAACCACAGTTGTGAAAGGTATATGGAACAGGAATATGAAACAGAATGAGAAAAGAATAAGCACCCAAAATGAGTTTCTATTCTTTGCATTCTCAAGAACTATTTTCTCTTATTTCTTATGTCCAAATATTTTTTCACTAATTTCTTTCCTTATTTAATAAGATCTTTCCTCCTCTGTTTACAGGATTATGTTAGGCAAGAAGAACAAGTGTTGTACATACCTCATGAACCTCGGCCTGGAAACCTCTCAGCTGATTGCATTTAATCATTTGATGAAGTAGAGCCCGGGCCACAGCTGCATCCATCTGTTCCAGGTCATCATAAAAACAAACCAACAAACCCAGCCTATAAAGCAGAAATACATTAGCTCCCTTCTGACATAAAAGGTGTCACTGCTGGGAAATGGAAACACAGCTCGGTACCCTCTCCTTGTGATCACAGCTTGAGCCATTTCTGTTTGTCCTGAGTGCCTGAACCTGCAGTCCTTAAAACTCAGCCTGTAACAGGGGTATGAGAACATGCAGCAGCCTTTGTATTCAGCTGAAGCCTGCCTGGATTGCTTGTGCTTGAGAATTTACCTGTCCTGGTTCCATTTGTTCATGGCTGGATTGGCCCAGTTAATGACTCCACTTCCCTGACAGAACAATCTTGAAAATGATGGAGGGCTATTACTAAGTCTCTAGAAGTGGCTTGCTGAGTTCTTATCTGGTTTGATTGGATGTTTTGAACTGCAAGTCCTGCTTGGATTCCACATGTAACACAACCCATTTGTGTTTCAGAGCAGCAGCTGGGGCATGACATGGCCTCTTTATCATTTTAGGAATAAACAAAGCCTTCTGTATTTCACATCAAACCCAGGACTGGCTGATGGATGGAGACCTGTCCAGTTCAACACTGGTCAGGAGAAAGCACACTGAGGCTTACTGCCCACTTGTGCCAGCACAGCAGTCTGCAAGGCAGGGTTTTGAACTGAGGTTTCTTTCACAGTTCTCATGCTGTAATATTTAAGTTAACATTTCCATTGACCTCTGTAAAGTGCAACCACAGCCATAGTTTTTGGAGAGGAGGAGTCACACCACCATGGGGAAATGCTTTTTGTAGGTGTCCTTCTAGCTTAGATCTTGTGCTTATTTACTGCCTTAACCTGCAGCCCTGCAAAGAAAGAGCTCTGAATTGTGCATCACTATGTCTGGATTTTGAACTTGATAGTGATGGGGATGAACTGGTTTGTAGGAAGCCTGAGTCAATTCCCTGTCCCTGTAAAGTCAGGCTTTGCTTTTACAATTCACACAGAACAAGAACCTCAAAGGTATGTCCAAAACCCAGCTTTCCTGCTACAGTCCCTGGCTTTTCGCAGTTCAGTGAGACAGGCACAGGCAGAGTCTGGGAAGTAATGTCCAGATGTGAATCAAATGATCAGTGGACAATGCTGCAGCACTACCACAAACTCAGTCAAATTCTGCAGCACAGAAAGGCTTTTAGTTCCTCCAGTCCCTCAACAACAACCTGCCAGCGATATAACAAAACACTGCTTCAGCAGCACATCTGAATTCATGGGAGATCATCAAACCAACATACAAATCAAAGAAACATCTATAAGAGCATTTTTATAACAAATAATTACATTCTGATGCATTATTGCATAGCCACCAAAAGCTCTTAATCTCCTTTGGGATTAGCAGAAATGAATAACACTACTTCTTAAAAGTAAAAGTGCATTTAAATCAACAGTATGGTTAAAATGAGCAACATAAACTAAGTGTGTCGTAAAAATGGAATATATTAAGGATTATGGAGCATGACATTTTTCTCATCTGTGAGAATGTGGCAGCTCTTGTGAGTGACAAAATAATTTTTAAGATTTCTGACATTGAAATTTAGAGTGTGGGCATAACTCTTCTCTTGCTTACTCCTCCGACAAGAGCAATGCTTCACGGAAGTCAGCGAGCTGCACTGCAGTAATGACAGGAGCTCTGAAGCCATAAAGCATATTCTCCATTAGTTTAAAACTCCAAGGTATCCCCCAAGGAGACTACAAATAATTTCAGACAGCGTTGTCTTGGGACTAAATACAACCATTGATATGACAATGCTTCACTTGGTGGTTTCTCTGGTGACGCCCACACCAGTTTAAACCCACTCGCAGTCCTGGCTGGCAGGAGTTGAGATTTCCTCCTTCAATCCTAACTGTAACATGATTTCCACCAAACACCTCCATGTTCTATGATTCAAGCAGCCAAGACAACTCATGTCCCGCTGTCCCAGTTTATTTTATTGCTCTGTAATGTGGTGGAGCTCTGCCTAAGTCCCCCAGATACTCCTGCAGACTTCCTACAAATGCTACAGGCATCTCCTCACTGTGGAGCAGGAGACAAAGCACTAGCTAATTAGGCACACCTCCAAAAAATCATAAAGAAGCAATTCTTCACTGTTGCTAAACAGAGCTGGATTTCAGCCTAGATTTTTCCGCTGGAATGAAAAAGCTGTGCCATGCTATCAATTTCCACGCTCTCCTTAGTTAGCTGTTCCATCCATACACAGCCATAAAAGAAAAAGCAAAGCAGCCTTGCCTGTAGATAGTTGAAGTGTTCCTCATATCAAATCCTGACGAGTTTATCCTTTCCAGGAGGGCCTGTGCAAGCTCTGGTGTGATATCGTACACCGTGTCCAACTGCTTTGTTGCATTGTCGTAGCTAATGAACAGTCTGATCTGGCCAGCACAAACAAAACCATGCATCAGCACTGGGAGACAATGAATCCTATAAAGTCTGTGTCTCACACTCAGAATTAATTGAGCCAAAATTAACAGACAAAGGAAGAAGATTTGGATAAACCAGTATTTCTGAAGGCATAGTTGAGTGAGTGATTTGAGTGATTCTCTGCCAAAATGTCATATAATTTGAGGGTCTTCTATCATTGGTCCCTTTCAGTAGAAGTCACAGAAGTCTGATACAAATAAGTAATTACATATTAATGACAGGCACTTTAAAATTAAAAAGATAGAAGAATTTTATAAAGTTTCTCTTTATAATTAATTAAGATATACTAAGTTATTTTTCATGTTTAAGTTTGCATTTGTGTTCATATTGTTTGTAGCAATAATATATCCAACCACACTTTGTTACTTACTTCATTGAGACTAATTTTCAGAATTTCTTCTAATGGGAGATGGACCATGTATCTTCCCAAAATCCATAAGCTTTCTGCACTGACCCAAGAAGTTGATTCATTGAACTCTGTTTTGTACAAATAAATACTCACTACAATGTTCAGAAAGTAATTACTTTTCAAATATATTTTACCCAGTATATTGTTATTGTTAAATAATAAAAAAATCTGCAAATCAGAAAAATCCTTAGCAGAGATAAATTCCCTCCATTTGCTACATTTTAGGACCACAATTTTATGAGTCCATACATTTTTTAATGGAAATGAAATAGTGCTTCAAGTGTCTCAAATTTTCTAATACAAAACAAATTAATGTTTTATGTTGCCAAAACAGAGAATGGATAAAGTGTAGGACAGGAAAAATTTACCCAAAAGTATTAAATATGGAACAATGTTTTTAAAATTCACTTTTCCTAATCAATTGCATTATTTAAGAACATCAGAAAGGCATGATACTTTATATATCTTATATATTATTATTGATGATGCCACTTATTTCAGCAATATGCAATAGCAATAATAGAGAAAATGAAAAACTGTTCAAATACCTACATGGAAATAGGCTGACAAAACCACAAAACACTGCATAAAAAATGGTATTCATTAAGTAACATTCTCCCAAGGACTGAAAATGAAATCAAGATCCAAATATCCCTGAGAAAAAACATATTTATGGACTCCACGGGTACCCTGAGCCACAAAGACAGTTTTCTCCAGGCTGTTGTCATTTGGATGGCTCAGTGTGTGACACCTCTGAACACATTCCTCAGCAGTGCTAATACTCACAGCTCTGCTAAAATAAAATCATCAGTGCACTTTGAAGAGTTTCCAGTGCTGGGAAAAAACCAGTCTGCATCTATCAGAAGCTGAAGGACTCCATTAAGTGATTTTTTTTAAAAACACAGATCTAAGCTCCTTAACTGAGACAAGATGATGATCCCAGCAGACCTGTCAGGCCTGCGTTTTTTAAAGTGATATTACCTCCTATTACCCAGAAGATTACAAGAATTGAAAGACATGACAAGAGAGCTAAAGAAAAAGCAGCACAATTTAAGGATGTTGACTGTGGCCTTTAGCAGAACAGACTTGCAGTTACCAGCCGTGGCAGCTGTGATCCCCAAAAACTGATCCATATCCCAGATGGTCCCACTGCTACCCACATATAAAGTGAATAAAGCTCCCTCCTGCAGGACTGTTCCTACACTCTGCTGTGGTCTAGGGAGTGCAGATAAACATGACGGAGCTTTAGACTGCCAGTCCAAGTGTGCCTGCCCAGGGCTGGTGGTTCACATGGTCACAACCAGCTGGGAATCAGCCCACACTTGGTGCCATGGGGGTGGATTCACCACATCTGTGCTGCTTTTGGCAGGTGAAGCAGCAACAGGGAGGAAAAAGAGGCACACAAGGGCCAGTCCCTCCCAAGCTGTGTGATCTTCTATAGATTGAGGTTTTGCCAATGCTGCAGACACAACTCAAGATGATGCAGAGGGATTTTCCCAGGACTGATGAGTAGCACCAGGCAAATTCTGCATCTTTGCTTCCCCAGCAACACACTGGTACTAGCATCACCTCACAGCAGCAGCATGAACCTCCTCTCCACAACTTACCAGGTTACTCTGATATTTTGAAATGGCAGGAGACCCAGGAGGCAAATTTAGCTCTATTAAAGCAAGTGAGCATTTAACCTTTGATTTCTAGGGAAGGAGGAAGAACACACAAATCTCTAAGTCTAAAATGCTCCCAGGACAGCTGTGCTGGGATGTTCAGCTAAATCCAGGCACTGGCTCTGATGTTCAGTGCCCTGAACAGCCCCCTTGTGGAACCCATCCTGCCTGTCCCAGCTATGGAACAGCTGTTTCAGGCACATTAACCAGGTAAACAGATGTGGGAAAATGCATCCAATCAGAATTAATTAACTTCGGTTTTATCATGTCCCTTTGCTGATCGAGTTGGTGCCATGTGCTTTCACAACATCCTGCATTTCTTTTGTGTTTTTAAACAGTGCAGTGGATAATGTATCCTGAGCCAGAGCTGTTTTTCTCGTCTGAACAGGAGTTCAGAAGAGAACAACACGCCTTGGCAGAGCACCTGGCCTCTGTATCCTATTTCAGACTTAGTACAGAGAGAAAAAACTGGAGTACTAGAAAAAGACTTTGTGAATAGCTCTGTGCAGAGCAGAAGAAGAGTCCATTGGTGGCACTTGTTGATCCTGGAGATCTTTTCCAGCCTTAACAATAGCATGATTCTACTCTACAAGTTCAAGCATCTCTGGAGAACTGTCTGTCATGAGTAACAAACACATTATATTTACTCTGCTCTGCAGAAAAGGTTTTCCAGACAGCTCTCTTACACAGACCTGTGTTAACTGGGGAAACAATTCAATACAATGGACAGGTCTTCTGCTGAGTGCTTTTCTCTTATGGTAAGCAAAAAGAAAACATTTTGTATCATACCACTCATGTTGTAAGATTTCTGTAGAATCTGCTTCATCCAGCCATAGAGAGCTCTCTGAGTGCTTGCTGAGGTTCTGTCATAGAGGTCCTTGAATAATGATGATCTAAGTGATAAACAGGTTTCTTAGTTCACTAATGAGTTAACCATTCATTTTATTTAATGACACATGGACAAATGATTCTAGAAACAGCATGCTTTACACATAAGCAGAAAGCTGTATCTGGAAAACGGACTGAGACCATATAGCAACATCTTTTTTAACAGTCAGCAAATCCAACATAGTATTAATTGTGCCTGAAAAATAAATGGCTTACAAGTTTCTGAAAGCATCCTCCAGCAGAAGGTTTGGGAGACTCCCAATGACATCAGGTTGGAGATAGTTCACTGCTGACACACGCAGAACCTGACTCAGGATATCCACACAGTCCAGGGCACTCAGAGCCAGGAAGCATTTATCCAGTGTTACAAAGAACAAGGTCCTGTTTACTCCTGGGCTTTGAAAAATTCTCTCTCTAGTCTTGCCCCAGTCAAGAATAATATTTCCTATTTCCTGCAAGCAACAAAGTGTTAAATCAACATCTGTGATTAATTCAATATATTGTTAATTTTGAGGCCTGACAGAGAGCACTCTACAAAGAATATGATGCTGTTCTCATGAAAAACAGCTACAAACTACTGGTTGTTTGCATTACTTCAAATAATTCCTTTCTGGCATTGGGTAGAGATCAGCTTGAATTTTTTTAGAAAACCAAAATTAAACCCAGAAAGATATTTCAAATGGCTGACTAAACAAGCTAATAATTTCACCTTCTTTAGCCATCTTGGCTCTCTTTCCAAAACGCCACCAAAAAGAAGATACTCCTTGAGACTAACTGGCCCTGCCTGCCTTCAGTGTTACTGTAGGAGGTGAATTCTTCTCTGGAGATTAGTTTCTCTCTATTGATTACAGTGAAAATCCAGATGACTGACTTGGACTTGCAGCAACCTTTAGACAGTAAGAGTTAAATGAACTAAATCTAACCTAAGAGGAGAGGGAGTCCTGGAATCCAATCCAAGCCAGGTAAGCAGCTGCACTGTGAGCCCCCCAGTCTGTCCCTTTCCATTTATCTAAACCACTGACAGCAGCTTTTTCTTTTCATATGTGGAAATTCACTTACAAGATGCTCCTTTTTGCTGTTGAAGAGGTATTTCATTGCAGTTTGGAACTGCTGCTGATCAAGCTGTTGCAATTCAGACAACAGTTGCCTGGGCTGGTATAAAAGGTTCTTCAGGTAACTTTTTATGGACATCTGAAGTACAGAAAAATATGTGTAATATACATAAAACTCATACTATTGTACTTTTACTCCCTGAAAATCTGTGCTCAAGGAGAACTAAGTGCTTAGCTCTGTATTGTCTGTGCTGCCAATGATCAAAATAACTATTTTCCACACAAACTGAAAACAAAAATAATTTTAATGCATTCTGAAAGACAGTAATTTTCAAATCCTATTCTCGGCTTCATGAACAAGTCCTCTCAAGGGAGCTTTTTAACAAAGATGCCTCAGTTTCTCACTTCATAAAACAAGAGTAATAAAGCTTTTCTGCTTCACACAGCAGAGCTGTGAAAAATGAAACTTCTAAAGAGCTATAAACAAAAAGCCTAAAAAAAATCAGGTATCATGTGCATGTTACTTAAAAAAGGGAAGGAAATGTGAAATTAGATGGGAAGAAAAGTCTCTACAAGGTCATAAGCCAAAAATATTCTCTCTTGCATCAAGCTGCATTACCAGTTAACAATCTCATGCCTGTTTTGAAAAATTGAAGGGAAATCATAACATTGGAACAGAAATAAATTTAAGGCTCATTAGCAGCAGACTGGAGTAAAATCCCTTCTATTTCCTGACATAATTATTTCAGAATTGGTTTGGAATTTGAGTTGCAATTGCTCTTTGCTGCCTTTGCTTAACTTGCATTGCCACCTCCAAATATTAACACAGTTCCTTTATGCCCCGGGGTTCAGCCTGTTGAAAGCCTCGGGCTGCCAATAAACCTGACAAAGGGAGGGGGCAGTGGCAGGAAAATGTAGGTGAGGATGAGCTGTGACAGCGACAGGGAGCTTGGGACAGGTTTCAGGCACTGTGGAGCTTCTGGGAATGCCTGAGGCTCAGGGATGGCACAGTTGACACTTCCCTGGTTCAGTGTGTGCAGGGACGAGGGAGGGCTCAGGTTTGATTAGCTGGGTGCAGCTCCACTTAAAGCAGCTCCTCACTAAGCAGCAGGAGGAGGAACAACTCCTTCCTGCATCACTTCCACATCGATAATTTACAAAAACAGCACTGAGATGAGCTTTAAAACATGGAAGCATTTTGTAGGATGCTCTGGAGCTTCTCATCCCATGAGGAGCAGTGTGAACTACAGCCAGTCAAAATCTGGGCGAAACCTATCATTTTCTGGGGAAACAGCATTTATGTACACTCAACTAAGAAACAATTAGCAGGAAAAATCCTAATTCCTGCTTTCCATCAGAGGAAAAGCAAAAAAAAATTGTTATTATTTCTGCCTTGCATACTCCAGCAATGTTTGGGGAAAAAGACAACCTATACCTATTTCCTATTTAACTGCTACACTGTAGGTATAGGTGCTGCTACACTGTAGGCGCATTAATTACCTCTATCATTGACCACCTAGCTTTGGTTACAGAGATAGGTTAAGTTTTTTTAATTCCTTTTCAAATAAAAATTTTTGTGCATCTTAAATGTCACAAACCTGCAGGCTGCCAAGAGTAAACATAACTTTCTGGGCATGAAAATATGCCATGACTTTTGTAAGCAGATCTGCTGTCCAGACATTAGAGCTGTAACAGAAAACAGGATAAAAAATGCCAGTAAAATAATATAACAAGTTAAATAGCAGATTACAAGAGTAAAAAAGAAAAAGGATACAAAGAGTGATGCTAACACCATAATGGCAAAAGTATTCAGTTTTTTGCCTATCCAGAGTAATAGTTGATCTGTTTAATGCAATGAAAATACATGGTTCAATGGGGAATTGAATTAATTAGGTTTTTTCCATCTAATTCCACAATAAACTCAATTTTCCAAGGTGTTGCCATTAGTACCATCTCCAAGGCATGTGCTTTCTGGCACCCCATTATGACTGTTCTGATCTGCTTGCAGAAAGCACAGGGAGTAACTGCTGCCTTTCTTCCAGCAGAGTCATTAATTTCACTGTCTTCCTTAAACAGACACTGATTTTCTCAAAATATGTAGGAGTGGAATGGTCTTTGAGGCTTATCCTGCTCTTTCAGATTTGGACAAAATTTGCAAATAATTCAAAAGCCACCAGGAGCTGGAGGATGGGAGATGGAGTGAGAATGAAAGGAGGAGGTTGACAGACAGCTGGAACTGCACTTAATTTCCTTAAGAAGCCATTTGGACACATGTGAGCAAAGTTAATTATCAAAACTTCTGAAAACTTAGCAAGTATTTATTTTCAGCCTCATTCTATTTTTTTTTCTTTTTCATGGCAAACAGGTTTTTCCCTGTTAACAGGAAATACTCCTCCCAGGAGACCTAAATCCAAGTAATCATATGTGCCAATTTCATTCTATCTATAATGTTCCAGTTTCTGTGGATATGAAACAGATCATATCTGAAGTGCAAGGTAATATTGAAAAATCAAGATGGGGAGAGTAATACATTACCTTTGAAAATAAAGTATATCTAGGAGGGCTGCACATGAAAAATGGAACATAAGAAGTTATGGTGAGATACTGAGTTTTAATTCATTTTAGAAGCATAAGTGGGAACAACTGTGTACATTACCATTCAGGTATTTCCCAGCTATTACTTCCTCCTAAGGAAAAATTACAAATATATGTAATAAATTATTATTTTTAGATATTATAATATAAAATGTTAGTAGAGAGATCAAATAAAAATACTGACCACAGCTTTGTGTAACAATGGAGGCAAATCTGTAAAAGATTATCCCATTATTAGAAGTTAATTTAATGTTTTATCAGTCGGTTGTGTTACACAAAAGTACATTTATTGTATGCAGTGATTATATACACATATATAATTTATTTGCAGACATTTAATGCAGTTTTGATTAAATTTACTTACAGAAAAACAGTGGGGGGGAAAAGGCTATTCAATAATAATCAGTCCTGATGAAATTATTTGCTGGTAGAGCTCCATGAAGCCAAGAGAGCAGAGACCATGGTCCCAGTTATTAAACAGCACCTGATTTATTACACACAACTTTTTCTGTGCCACAAATATACCCCTCAGACAGGAGTTCTGGTCTTACCTTCAGAGTTCTGACTGTGAGTAATCTTGGCATGATTCATTGATATCAACAAGAAACACATCTTCAAAAGTCTGGACATTTCTTCTGGTGTTTTTAGAATAAAAAGATACTTGGATTGCAGAGGAAAACAGGAATAACAGAGTCAAAATGCAATATTCACCCCAAATTTCATGGCTATAAATCAGAGACAGCTTATGTTATGGAGTACAAATAGAGATCAAAACAATCCAAAGCTGCTTGCTCCCAAGTTTTTAATTTAGATCTTTTTCTAGGATAGAGATACACTTTATACAAACACAAGTCCACAAAGAGTGTGTGTGCAGACAGAGTTATCTCCCTATAGCAAATGGCTCATTTAATTTTCTCCCTTGTAGAACCATTTATTTACCAAGTTACACTGCACCTAAGTACAACTTCAATGCAGCTTTGTCAAAACAGGCAAACAAATCCTTTTAAAATCAGATAAAACAAAAGAGAAATGGAATGGAAAAGGAAATTATAAAATTATAAAACAAACAGAAAGCTTTTCCTAGCTGGTTAAGCTGCAGTATCACTGCAGGCTTGGTCTGGGACCCTCCATTTCCAGATCTCTGAATTCAGGCGGAACAGCCTGGCCCTGGTCCCCTGTCCCTGCAGGGTGCTGCAGGCAGTGAGGGGGAAGGAGCTCTCCCTTCCCTGCTGCCACATTTGGCAAAAAATGAGAAAACACCCTTATGCTCTTCTGAGGCAGAGGGAAAGTCACACATTTGGGAAACTGCCCATGTCACTTCACCTGGACAGATCAAAGCCATGGGCTTTGTAATGACAAGGTGTCCCACCAAAGTTTCACCAGCACCACAGACACAGTTTATGGGGAAAGAGATGTTTTGGTAGCTCTTGCTATCCCTGCTGCCCTGCGCTATGCAGCATAAAAAACACTGAAAGATAAATTGTCTGGAAGGGCAGTAATAGGGTACCCAGAGCTTTTCACTGGGTTGTCACTGATAGACGCCAGAAAAAAATTGAGTTTCACAGTTGCTCAAACCAAAATGAACGTGTTGCTTTTGGCCTAGTTCTTGAAGGACAAGGATACACACAGGACTAATGCAATGGGGTGGAAAAGAAGCAAAGACTGGGCAGGTTTCACTAAAAGGAGTTTCTGCAGCCACATCCCCTCCTCAGCTCTGAGGGCCATCAGCTGCTTCAATCCACAGTGGAGGGAGGATTTTCTGCCTGGCCCTCTGCTCAGCCTGAGAACCACCACCCCCACAGGCAAAACAACTAATTCATCTGACATATTAGACAATGCCTTGATCCACAGATGGCAACTTCTTACACTGGGATTAGTCCCTGATTTTAGAAATGACACACAGGGTCCCATTGGCCGACTTGGCTCTGACCATAAAGAGACTTTGTTAGGTTTTGTCTCCCTCTCCCTCATTTCAAAGGTTTATTTGCAAGACACTGAATTTCTGCATTTCTTTTTGTTGCTGAATCCTGTGCTCTCTCTTTCTTCCCCCCTAAAGTTCTCTGCCATGGCTCGAGTTACAGATCTGAATATTTGATAAATGACACCTTTTTTTGACTGTTTAATCTCATGTACCAAGGTACTCTTTTATAAAAATATCTTTTAACAAGCCTCCAGCAATACTTCGGTCTATTGCAAATACTTAACTCCAGTCTTGTAACAGGAGTGACTCAAACTGACAGATGATGAAAAATTTAAACATTTGACTTCAAGAAGCTATCACCTCTGTCCTGTTCTTACACACATTAAAACCCCTTTCAGCTACTCTTTTGGGAGCACCATGGTAAATGTCTCTCATTCAGATGTATCTGGTTTCCTAGACAATGAACTTGTGTTTGTCCCTGCCTGTGCCCTAATAATTTTGCAGTAAGGTTTGATTACTCTGCATAGGTTAACTAATGCTTCCAATGTCAGTCCCGATTTACTTATTCCAATTCATTCACTTTGATCAGGGAGTGTATTTTAATTAAAGCATGCTAACTTAATATATAAGGAGATTAAATGTTAAGGAAAGTGCTTTTTCATCCTAACTCACACGGACAATCAGCAGGGCACAAAAAGGGCTGTGAAAACCCTGCCTGGCAAGCCAATCTACAGGATGAAGTAGTTCATTTTTTGAGTCAAATAGGTCGGTTTGCAGCTCACGGCAACTTCCAGACAGTCCCAAACCATGCTGTGGGTATCTCCTGCAGATCCCACCCGGCATTTCCCCGGAGATCGCTCCTCGCATTTGCTGTGATGAGATTTCTGAGCCTTGCGGGACTCCCCGCTTATGAGAAGCTTCCAGATTACCCTCTCCTCTCACTCCCAGAACAGCCACCCTTCCATCTACAGAAATCCTAGACATTTTATCACTCACTCCATGCAGTCGCTGCCTTATCTGAAGCTCGATAACCAGAAAACTTTGCTTACAATCACAACTCTTGCCGATAAAGCCCTTGCACTGCCGGTGCCCACCTTCCCCCTTGCACCTGAAAAAAAGCACCACAAGCAGTGGGGGAAGCCGCAAGGGGTGCGGGCTGGAAAGGGAGAGAGGGAAGAAGATGAGGAGGGCCAGGAGCCCAGAGGACTTTACCTGCTCTGCCGTGTGCTCCTCCGCCCGGCTCTGCGGGGATAGGCGGCTCCAGCCAGGGAGCTGAGCGGGGCCGGGCCCAGCGCCGCCCCGCAGCCCCAGCGCCGGCCCAGCGCCCCGGCCCTCAGGGCGGGCGGGACAGGCTCCTCCGCCGGCCGCCCGGCACCCCGGCCCTCAGGGCGGGCGGGACAGGCTCCTCCGCCGGCCGCCCGGCACCCCGGGGCGGGCAGGAGGGGACACTTCTGTCCCGAGGTGAAGAGAGCTCAACAAGCTGTGCAGGGGAAGCACAGGGCTGGTGCTGCCCTGCTCAGCATCTCCCCAGCCCAAGCAGCGGCAGGTGGCCCTGGGTCCCTCAGAGTATGAACGTGGGATCGCCCGGCAAAAGGCGGCTGTGGTTGTGAGGGATGAAGCTGTTCCAGTTTTGCTTTGAAAGTTTCTGGCTAAATAGTGCGCTTGCACAGCATCGTTTTCCTGCAGTGCAACACACCCAGCCCACCCTGACAGGGCCGATCAGATCAGAGCAGTTCAGTCACTCCCCAGGGCAAAACTCTGCGCGTTAATAAGAGCACCTCGGATGGACACTGTCACCCACCGCAGGACAAGGCAGGATTCCCAAACCCAGGAGTAATGAATTTGGACATTGGAATTGCAACACTCGTGCCCTTAGATGGCATCTTAGAGTATTTGGGGCAATTTAATGAACTACTGAACTCACAAGTTTCTTTCTGTGGGCAGCATTGCACACAAATACTCTCAGTGCCTGCAGGGAGGAAGAAGCCCCTTCCCTCACAAGGAGCTCTGGCTTTAGAGATACAGGTGTAGGGACAGTCCTGGGGGTTATTCTCTTGATTCAACAGGACTAAGCAGGTGTTTGACCCTGCTTAATTGAGGCTTTGTAGAAAGATTTTCATTATTGGTCATGTTTTAATTCCTCATCTCGAGTGTAAGAATAAATACTTGGTTAAATAGAGTGAAAAAAATCCCTATTGTTTACATGGCACCTTCTGTTCCCAAACCTCTCAAAGCCATTACAAACTGAAATCCTCAGTGACAGCACTAAAAGATGAGAAACATGAAATGCAGCCTCCTGTGTTATTTTTAACATGTGGGATTAAAACACTTAAATACCTTTGAAGAAGTTTGTCTTACTACATATTTGCTACCTTAACCTAAATTAATGACACATTAAAAAACATTTTCCCACTACTAGATGAGTACAAAATGAAGGTTGCAGAAGGTAAATTAATGGATTACTCCTGAGCCTACATAGCTCATTTTCCCAACAGACAAATCTGATTGCACTACGTGCCAAAATGCAACAGCACATCCTGAAATGATAATAACGGAGTCTAAATTACTGTTGAGAAGTAATTTGAAATTTCAGCACTCCTTGCCCTTGCCCCATACTACAGAATACTATTCCACAAAGATGACTGACAACAAAAAGCTAATCAATTGGCAGGAGAAATCATTAACCATCAGTTTGAGGTAAAGCTAAAATGACATGCTAAGCATCCTACCTGGCATAAAATCACCATTAATGATAAAAACTACAAAAAGACCCACAACAGACAACTTTTTTAGACTTCAAAAGCAACAGAAGTCAGTTCTTACTTTACTTACCTGAGGTTTCTCTGCTTTCTCACACTTGCAACCCAAGCACTGTTATGACATACACCTGCCAGGTCTGTACTACTTATGATGTCTCTTGTTTTAAAGAGAAGCCATATTCCAACTGCCAGAAATTATCCACTTAAACAGTTTTTAAAACAAGACATGTTAAAATAAATAGCATTCATTTAGTGCTTTTGAAGAAAGGAAAATGACTCAAGCCCCTAAAGCCTGATCCTCACAGGCAGTTTTACTCAGAAAATTTGCAAGAAACCACCTGCAACTTTTTAAAGCTGAAAACATTTGGCAACAACTTCCTTAGAGGGTTTGTTTTTAAAGCCATCAGTTTAAAGTGCAGTTTTGACAAGTTCTACTGTAACCCCTTTAGCTGGAAAAAGGCAAATGCAAAAGCAATGAGGATTCATGAGGCTTTGACAGGGAAGAACATGAAGGAAACCCAACCAAAATTGATACATTTTTTGTGCACTGCAATCCCATTAAATAATAATTAAATGCAGTTGAAATAAATGCAAGGTTGTGTTGCTACTGAAAGCTTGATTCTCAACACAAAGAGCAGTTGCTGCAGACAAGCATGGCTATGGCTACAAAAATGAACACAAAAGTTAATGCAAAAGTAATCTCAAAAAAGTTTATTAGCATGATTAAAAACGTGAAGGATGACAGTAAGAGAGAAAGCAACTTAGCATGGAAGATTATCCATCTCAACAGTTTTATTGAACAAGTCTTGAACTGAATGGATAACTTTATTGCCAGATTTTGCTTGATTTCTTTCACAATAGTTCACACTGTATCTGTTTCACCATTATAAAGACTATTGCTTTTGTTTGGATATGATCCCTGTTGCAGGTAAGAATAAAAAAATATCCCCCATTGCTACTGGATTGCAGAATGCAATGTTGGTTTAAGAGCTGGTAAAAAAGAAATACTCAGCTGAGGAGTCCATTTAAAAAACAACCTTTTCCCGCCCCCTAATCACACTACAAAGAAATACATTATTATTTTGGCCTTTGAATTTCTTACATGGTATTTATTTAGCATGGCAATCCCAAAATTCCCTCCCTTTAAGTAACCATAATTCAAAATCCTCTTTCAGAGGCTGCTTCTTGGGTTAGACTGTGGAGCTTTACTTCACACAGGCTTACACTGGCTTGAGGACAAAGACAGCATCATCCAGCACGTAGTAGTCATTGTACATGTCACCTTCACAGAGGTAGGGCAGTCTGGTGAAAGCCTCGATGGCAAAACCAGCTTTACTGAAAACTTCTGGCAGGCTGTTCACCTGTTCTTCCCAAGTGTGCCCTTTGATTTCCAAAACTTCTGAGGGCTTTTCCCACTTGCCACCTACTGAGAAAACAGAACAGCTTTGTTTTAATTATAATGAAAACTTTATTGTGTGCTGCATTTTCCTACAGAAAACATAATTACACTAATTATGTTCCATTTCACTCCACACAGGAGGTTGCCACACCACTTGCAGACTGGTTGCAAGATCAGTTCCAGTTTATCCCTGCTGTTCAAAAGCAGCTTCTTTAAGGTTATCTTTTGTTACATTTTTAACTAGAAATGCCAGGAGTGGCTAAAAGGTAACTGCCATTACTTACATTAGTTAAGAGGCTGGTGTCCAGCAGACAGGCACACAGGTAATTACAGTAATTAGAGTCAGCAAGTTGAAAACTATGATTTGCTGTGAAGCTTTCACCAGCAGATCACCCACATTACAGTGGATGGCTACTTTGTGCTTTCAGTGGTCACCTACCAGCTGATCTGCTAAAGGCTGCTTAGGGTCATATAAAATTAAGAAGCTGATTCAGTAGCATGCTGGAAAATGTCTTGTTATTTGTTATATCCAATGAAATAACCTGCAGGATTATAGGTACAATTCTCAGGAATTCAAAATATAAAGTTCTTCACTCATTTTCCAAGTAATGTCATCCACAACAAACAAAAGCTTTCTGGAGTGGTCTGTACCTTTAACCACTTTGCTAAATGCAATAGTAAACACCCTTCTAAACAGGAAGTTCTACATCTTGTGATTGAGACAGTTCCGTGAATCCAAACATTTCCTAAGTTCCTCTTCCTTCAAGTAGATTCATTTCCACAGAGATACAAGAAATGGCATCTTTCAACAAGTTAAAAACCGTGCTGATGCTGGTGTTTGACTGGATCCTGTATGGTGCTGGTAAGACTTAAAAATTTCTGACATTTTCTCACTTAACAGCAGTTAAACAAGACTGAGAATTTTGTGGTTATGATTTGCAACACAGCTACATAAGAAAAGCAGTGAAAAGTTTTGCTGAAAATCAGGTTAATTTCTGCTTTCATCATATAACTTCCAAAGAACACAACTGCTAGCAAATGCTTTTTTCTTCAAAAATCCGAAATGCTGCTGTAACCTGTGATTTCTGGGTCAAATCCCGCTGCACTTCCCTGCTTGGAACACTCCAGCAGCAGCCTGGTTTCAGAGCAACTGTGTTTGCTTGGGTGGAGGGCTTGGGAAGTTCAGCAGGCAGCACCTATATGACCTGAGGCCACGGAGTTCTGCTCTGCAAGGACACCAGAGCCTGTGGATGAGGTGGAAAAGAGAAGGGCACCAGCTGCAGAAGCACAAGCTACTGCCTTTCAGCACACAGGGTGCAAGTACACCCACAACTTGCAATCTTCAGATTGCTGCAGCTGCTGTGGAATGGCTCTGATATGGACCTGACACAGAATCAGTTTCACTTTATTCCTGTAGAAGTCACAGCACTAAATCTGATTTGATTTAGTGAGAAAAATGGTGAAGGAACAATGCTAATTGTTCACCACAGACTGGTTTACAAACTGTATATCAGCAGTACACGAAGAAATTTCTGTTTATTTATCTTCTAGTTTGTTATTTTCTGGCAAGCAGAAAAAGATGCTATTTAGATATTACCTTTATTCTCATTGCAATAACCTCAATGTTATAGTTTAATAACTACACTATTTATTTGAATAAAACTAAATATATTAACATGGAATTCACATGGATTTCAATAAGGACTTAAAAAAAAAAATATTCCAGACTTGTCATATTAAACCCCACATTTTAGTTGTTTAATTAGAATGCTCTTCTCTGATTAACCTTCTTGTTTTCTCTGCACACATTTTTAAATGTCAGGACTAACAAGCACTATTATTCTTAGAAACCCAGAGTCAATATATGTGATGAAGTGGAGGAATATCTAGGAACTACTGTGAATTCTAATCAATGTTATGAAGTTGCTAAATTATAAATGTCTTGATTTATGACATTTCCACTGCCTACCTTCAGCTTGTCTGGCTTGACTCAGACCAGGAACAGTGGAGAAGTGGGAAAGCCCTGCAGAACTGCTCCACTAAGGAACTAATTTAGGTCACACAACACCCACCCCCACTGGCCAGTACCCTCACAAACA